CGTTTATATATTCTTTACTACATTGCAGAATTGATTGGTGAATTCTTGTATTCGAATTTTATTTTTTATTTTCATAGGGGTAATAAATGAGGCAAAATAGCTCTCACTGGATTAAGTGCAGGGTGTTCATAAAGTCTCTTAACATTTAAGAAACAGTATATTAAAAAGGTAAATGATGTGATATTGCAATGAGGGTTATTCTATGTAAATCGATATTTAAAAAAAAATTGACACTAAAATTTATTGTTTTAGATAAACTTCTCAACTAAAATTTCTTATGTTTAATGATTGAAGTATATGAACGAATTTCTGAGGATGCAGCATTTCTCAAGCGAGTTTGTTTCACTGATTAGACAACTCTCCATGTCTCAGGAAAGTTAAACAGACACAATGTATGTATTTGAAGAGCGGAAAACCCCCATGCGAGTGAGAACTTCAGTGTGATAGTCCAAAAGAGAATGTTCGGTGTTGAATTATGTGCAATCGAATAATTAAGCCATTTTTTTCAACAAGGCATCCATCACTGCAAATGTTTACCTTAACCTTCTCACCGAATATGTGGCACCACAACTGAATGAATTTCAACCAACCATCATATTCCAGCAAGATGGTGCACCACCACACTGGGGACTGCATATTCGTGAGGTCCTCAATGAAACTTTTCCCGACCGATGGATTGGAAGGGATAGGCCGATTCCATAGCCACCACATTCACCAGATATCACTCCTCTGGACTTGTTTTATTGCGGTTATTTAATATCACGTTACCGTCGATATTTAAAAAGATCAGGGTGTTGTGAACAGATTTATTGGCCCTGATGTTTTGTAAACCATTTGCAATGAAGTTGGATAAATAAGCGTTTCAACAATGTACAGGTTATTTATAGAAGTCTAGCGTCTAATAGAAGTCTATTTTGCAAAATCTAATCGCAAGACAGCCGTCACGCTTGGCCTATTAAAAACCGTGTTCACGTAAATAAAATCATTTACAGCGAGATTTTGGATGAAATATCACATTTTCTGGGATTCATAAAACATTTAGGATTAAATGAAGCAATAGCCTTCTAGCGACAACAACAATCTTTAATTACTGAAAATTTCAAAGCAATTGGTTCAATGGTGTAAGAGAACAGCAATTTTTTAAAAACAACAAGAAAATGAACAGGAACATTACAAAGAATTCTAAAACAACAACATAATATTAAAACGATCTATAAGTCCATTTCGTGTCCAAAAACAGATGTCTCCTGGCATCAATATAAAATGTTAGAATTTCAGCGATATTTGTTATGACAATACTGCAGAACAAACACTGAGCAATGTGGAAGTGTCAACATATGTTAGCAGTAATCGAAAAATTTGTCTAAATGATTATACATACACACGGTAGATAGATGAGCTTATATGACAGTGGTTCTTAAAGCATGGGTCGCGACCCAAACATGGGCCGCGGAAGGTTTAAAAATGGGTCGCGACAAGGTCGTTAATGCAAGGACAATCTAAGAGGAGACGGACAAATTTTCAGATTTCCCAATGTTTCAATTTAGCTTCTAAACTCTGGTATTTAAAAATAATGGAATATAAAATTTCATTCACGGAAAGAACTGTCTTGAGCTCATTGTTACATCACAATTCTGATATGCCAGTCACGTGTATTATTTTTATGGTATCGGTAACCATGCAACGTTGTGTTGACCGCGTGGAATGTCGTCTTAGTGGATTGAAATAACCAAAAATGGGTGTCTTTTTGGTATTATAAATTGTAATAGACGACGCAATGAAAAAGCTCGCTTCTCGACATTAGATTATTCAATATCTAGAGAAAATGTGACTTCATCTCGAGGCACCATTTACCGCGAACGAAGCGGTGTGTGCACATTTGATGAGTAAAAAGTTGTATATTGCGAGAGATACCGAAGGCCAGCTAGGATGTCGTGTTTGCGACGGACAGCGGACGCCTTTTCTGCTACAATTCGCAACAAGGCACTTGTGCGAGCGAGGATATTTGGCACTGACGGTTATCAAAACTAAGCTCGCAATCGCCTCGATACCCGTGACAACTTGCGTATTGCGTTATGTAAAATAGAGCTGTGTATTGAAGATATAATGAAAAGGAAATTTCAGTTTCATCAATCTCACTGAGTCAATGGACTGTTTCTAATAAATAGTTGTCTGTATTTGAGTCAAACTGTACTAACATTAAAAAACACATTTTGCGTTATTTAGGATTGGGTCGCGAGTATTCATAAAACTCAGATTTGGGTCGCGCTCGAAAAAGTTTAAGAACCACTGTTATATGAGGTTAGAGAAGTCGTTCGCCAATTTTGATGCTAAAGAAAGTGGGAGTTGTGCGCACCGAAATGCAGCGTCATGGCGCTGTAAACATATAAGATGTGAATTTTAACAAAGCCCGTCATTGGAAAAATAAAACAATTATACAGAAGAAATTATTGATCTTTATTTTATTAAATATCATTAAATATTAAGAAATTATATTCATCTTATCTCATAGTATCATCTAGTATTATATAGACCAACATGCGGAGGAAGAAACTTATTTAGTCCAATTTACTGCTCGTCCTTTGTTGATATGAATGCATGTTCTCAATAAACAAATTTAACATTTCATAAGAACTCCGTTTAATGTACCACAATTACTACTTTAATAAATATTTCCAATGCAGAATGAAATTATAAGATGAAATCTCAGAAACACAATAATAAAAGCTGATGTTCACGACCTACGTAATAAAACTCTCAGCAAAAACTCAACTTTTTTTTCAATTTTTAATTAAATACGTGAAATTGACACAGTCTCTGACTGGCCCAGGAATATATGCGGATATTTTTCGTCTATATTAAATCCTTCACTTGTCTGTCTTGATCAATCATATTGGATGAACCCAAAAGATTTTTCTGATAATAAAAGCCAGTCATCCAGATAGTTCAAGTTCACTATAAAAAGTTGATGATATTTAGCTATCGAGATTTAAAGAAGATATAAACATTAAGTTTTATGCGCGCATTTGGCTCACAGTGGGTAGTTTTAAAATTGAAAGAACTTGGTTATGTAATTTTCTCCTCATGTTTCAGAAAGCTTGTGTAAAAATATAAAACAATGAAGTTTGTAATCTTCGTTCTCCTGATTGTTGGGATTTGCGCATACAGAAAGAAGAAAGAAGTCAATCTTGAAGATTTCGATGCTAAATTCGATCTTGAGGTATGCTGGTATAATTTATATGTTTCGCACTCATACTCAGGTGCTATATTGAGCAAGACTAAAATAATGAGTATATCACGACGATTATTCAAATTCCACTCCCAGAAAAGTAGCTCCAAAAACTACCATTGATCATTTTCCCATTTAAATGCCATTTTCAGATCTTTGTCTACTCTGCAAGAAAAATCGATTTCTCGAAAGAAAAAAGAATCGATTTCAAAAATACTTCAGAATGAGGAGATTTCAAGTAATTTGCATTTTATTTAAGCATATTCCATATTTTTAATGAACCAGATACATTTCATTTAATTCCTGCGTATTTATTTTAATCATAAATGCATAACCGAATCGAATATAAATCTTTTGGGATACACATATAGATCAATATACTATCTTCAAAATCTTCACACATAAACAACAACATGTTTTGTATATTAATCATATCATATGTTTATTTTAAAATTACATTCTGTCAAGAAAAAGGACGATTTCGCTTAGTGAATCTGATATAAGGATAAATTATTTTAACGTTTTTTTGCAACCAATAATGGAACGATTTCATGCACAGGAAATTTCCGAACCCGAAATATTCACGTCCTGCTCTAAAAGACATCGCTCACAAGGATGACACGGTTTCTGATTGCAAGAAAGGGAAAGGTATTCAGAAATCCTACAATCCCTCACACTGCAGTTGAATGCAAGTAAGTTGCTGGGTCATTCAATTTTGTAATGTTTGATTCAACCTTATTAAGAGCATTTTATGAAATTGATATGTGTCGCTTTAAATACACAAAGTTCTCAATGTAAAAATTGTTTATAACAAAACATCTTTGATACTAAAAACTAAAAAGTTAACGCACGCCAGGGCAACCAATTATTGTGGATATAAATATTTAAAAAGTAATGTTCTCGGGGCATTGAAATTTAGGAAATTTGTCGTAATTGTATTTTTCATATTAAAATAAACAAGAGAGCCATACTCAAATATATGGACACATTGCACCACATAATTTTGATGGCGCCATAGCAAAAAATATAGTCGTTACTCACTGAAAATTTCAAAACAATTTGTCCAGTAATCAAAGAAAAAAGCGATTTCTTCAAAACGTGTGAAAGAACAAGAATACGAACAACAACATAATATTGAAACGATCGTTAAATGCAAAATATGATGGGAGAATTGAACAATTTTATTGGAAGTTTATTTAAGAATATTTTTCCTATCAAACATATTTTTACCGCCACAAATAAGCACAAGATGTAAAATGTTTATTTAGGTTTAGTTAAGAATATTTTTCCTATCAAACATATTTTTACCGCCACAAATAAGCACAAGATGTAAAATGTTCATTTCTATTATTTCATCCATACGCAATTCTGATTCATAATATTGAAACGATCGTTATGTCCACTACGTGTCCAATTATATTTATGTTTTACGCAACGTATGAATTTTCATATTTTAAGATACAGTTATATTAACTTGAAATTCCAAAAAATCAATTTCAAGGAAAATGTATGCAAGCTGTAATTTGGTAAAACTCCATGATGACAAATAGTTGTACCCGGAACCTTCAAACGATGGGAAACCACATATGTATCCGGAACCCACGAAAGATGAAGAACCACATCTGTATCCCATGTCAGAGAAAGATAAAGATGGTGTAGAGATCTCTTGTAAATGCTACACTATATGCCCTATTGTATTCCTTAATTTGAAGACTATTCTGTAATCTAATAGCTATATATCCCTATGATATATATTTAAACCAGACCAAACTCAAAACATCGATCGACTGATGCTCATTTTTATTTTCAGAACTGTACAAAATAACTGTGTTAATTTTATTGTCATTTGTTGATTAAAAGCTGTATTTTATTGAAATTGTATTCTCGATAAGTTCATCCAGAAAAATATCTGCGTCTGCTATTTGGAAGCATCTGAAAACTTCCCCTTCGGCCTGTAAAGACAATGTAGTATTTTAAATTATATGAAGAGCTATTGAAACCACTCGTACGTAATAGTTGACTGCTTTTTAATCAATGCATATACATACCCTGGTACAAAGGCAGCTTGAATTGTGTAATACTGCTATAGCTAGAGGTATATGTCACATTAACATCGGCACTGTTAAACTTTCTTTCAATATCTTGATCGTTTTAAAAATAATCGAAAAGATGAATAAAAATTTATTTTCGTAAATTACTGAAAATAAATTATTCAAAAAATCGTTTCCAGTCGATAACAGACTGATTCAAATAACATATGACTCATGGTTAGTAAACAAGACTTTCAGAACGATTAGAGTATAATGTTATATGAAGTCTAATTCAATTACGTATAAATAGGTGTTCTGCGTAAGTAATATCGACAAATTGGCAAAAATAATTTTTTTATTCATTCGCTTGTAACTTCCTACCTTCAATAGATACAATCCACAGTACCAGCATAATGAGAACGACAATTTTCCGTAAGATGGGTCCCATTTCTTTGTCGCAATTGCAAGGAACTTTCCAACTGATGGAGCAGACAAAAAATATAATTTAAAACTTCGAAAAATTAAAATGATTATTAAAATATGAAAAGTGATAAAACACGCTATCGGGAATATATGCACAAAAATCTTGCAAAATGCAAAAATGTCTTTCAAATCTAGATGTGGTGTCTATTATGCTCGAAGTATCTCCTTGACATAACAGCCCATCGTCTTTTTTGTCATTTTAAAAACTTGATATTTCATCATTATATTACTGAAATAGGTAGTCTTACCATGTTTTAAGTTAGTTGCTCATATTTGTTATCGTATTAATTACAGAGAAACTAAATCCTTATACATATTTTGCATACAAAAATCGCTTACGCTATGCATCTTTGGTTTTTTTAGACATATCAGATTAAGAATAATCTTCAAAACTCACCTTTATAGAATATTATGAAGAAGTAATATAATATATAACAGCAGCAATCATCTTTTTATATAGTTTTATTGCTCTATTTTTTATGTTTAAATCGGGAAATGACCTCTTAAATAACCGCTTTCGCTGTGCACACGTGCTATTATTTTACCTGCCTGTTCATGCGATTAAATATTTATTGAAAGAAACGGATGGAAACAATTTCGAATGCGGGCGTACAAAAGATTTATTTTCGTTAAGTTCCAGAAAAGATCAAACATTAAATCAATGTCATACTTACTCGTGATTTCGATCTGTTATTAACTTGCATCCAATGTGGCTAATTCCTCTTACACTATATATCCCCGGGAAATACTTGTATAATTATATAATAATTGTATTTATATACAGGGTCTGCTAAAAAAATGTCACCATTTTATACATTCCGAATGTACAAAACGGTAACATTTTTGGCCGACTTTGTATATATATGTCTTTATATATTTGTTACTACATTGCAAAATTTATTGGTGTTCTCAAATTTTAATTTTATTTTTCCTGTCATAGGCGTAATAAATGATGCAATTTTCACCGAAGCTTCCAATGGATTGAGTATTTTGCATTTTGTTGTTTTAGTTAGGTTAGGGGCGCGGATGCGCCCTGATGGGATAAACATGCAACTGAAATCAATAAGCGATAAACAAAATAGAATTCATTTGGTTGAATCCAGAAATCGTCCATGATTATCATCCAGACGTTTCCATTTTCTATAAAAGATGATAAATAGCTCATGCATTGATAATTTCCAATGATCTCAATTCAAACAACATTTAAGAATATAAGTGAGCAATACCAACTGAGTATTTGCGGTCTTTTCAATCATAATATTTTAATTGCGTATGTGTTTTTTTGCTCTGCCAAATTGATTTATAGCGAATAAACAAATCGTTTATTTTTTTTATACAATAACATGAATCTCCATCTGTTTTCATGATCACTTTTGATTTCAGCTTTCATGGATACACACAGGAACAATGAACTGGAAATAGTTGTCAATGTGTATATTTGGTTTTACTTCCGTTTCTTCATATTACTCACGAATTCAAAATCGGAAATTCTCCGCGGTTACGCGCTTGTATAAAAAGCTGAGTTTTTCAGCGTATAAAGAATTGTTTTTCTGTCGCGTAAAATATTCAATCCATGACAATTTCGAGAAATTAAACTGTCTTTCTGTGATAAATTAATTGTCGTTGTCGTTGATTTACGACACGCTAAAATACCTCCACGCCAAAATACTGCGGCAATATGCGGGCGTAAAAATTTGAGATAAACTGCCAGATTATAATTAGTTTAATTTTGTGACCTTGCGATTTTGTTATCCGGAACGTACAATTTAATTTAGTACAATAACAATACATGTAAAGTATATAAGGATATCAAGAACATATATTCATCGCCTCGAAATCCCCGCGGAAAGGTTTCTGAAACAGTCGCCACGTTCACTCCACTCATTAGAAGAGTCGACTTTTTCACTAGATAATAATATTTTATTTCTCAGAGTAATCAATCTATGACCGATACGGGCACATTTAAAATAGTTAATTCATAAATAAATTGTGTTCAATGTAACTCGCATTTTCATCGACTTGCGGGAAAAATAAATGAATTTCTATTCTAGAATGCCATGGCAATTCTCGGGCATAAAAATGTGTGCTGATGTGCAAGATTATCTCTTGTTTGACTCCTATTTTGAGAATTTGACGACTTTGAGCAGTTCTTTCATTATCAACTTTGCTCTATCGCAATGCTGGCGACTGAGAATATTTTTGTTAAGCTATCAAGGTTAGAAAAATCCCCAAATCTATAATGAAATCCTACATAGTGAAATGTATAAAAGGTACACAATTGTACGACTGTATGTCGATTTCAGTGATGGTATGGCTTCCAAAGTGTCATGTGTGTCACAGGCACACAAATTTGCCTTGCCATAAAGGCGTTTTCTTTCGTGCGTGCAACAAAAAATGTATTTATTATCGTCCTACATATGTTTAGGGAAATTTCTGATCTAGATAGTATAAACACCGACATAAAGATTTTTACTGTCTAAATAACACGTCACGCCGACAGAAACAACCAGCGATTTTGACGAATGCAATCGCACGAGTTATCGACAACTTTAAAATCTTTTAAAAATTTTGAAAAACGAGGTTTTTGAACCCATTTCTTGTAGCTCTATCTGATATGGTAAGCTTAATTCCAGCTTCGTCTCTCCAGCCCTGTTCACAAGAGCGCAGAGAAAGGGATTAATGTTCGTACTTGTCTATACGTATTGTTTTTTCATCGATCCGTATAACCTTTCCAACAAACTACGGAAGATTAGTTACGTTATGTAGGGATTTCCATATTTCACAATATTCGCTAATATTATCATCAATCCATTACAAAAAAATAATGAAAAAAATCTTCTAGCCACCTTTGGCTTGTTGAACCAAAACCATCCATCAGGTTAAAGTCCTTTTTCATATTCTTCAATTCTGAACCCGATTCTATAAAGAGCTAATTATATTCTGAAACTTTTTCATAAAGAGTTCTACTGTATTCCTTACTTCAAAGACTATTCTGTAATCTGGGAGCAATATTTTCCTAGAAACAGTATTGGAATCAAATCGAACTCTAACTATCGATCGGCTGACATTCATGCGCCTTTTTATATAAAAATCGTACACATAACTTTGCAAATTTTCTTTTCTTTTATTGAAGGCTATATTTCATTAATAAAAATAGTATTCTTGATAAGATCATCAAAAGCGACGTCTGCCGTATCTCGAAAGGATCTGAAACCTTTTCCTTCGTCCTGTGGAGACAAAACAAAGAAATATTGCGTAAAGTTTCGTCTGCTCAAATTCATTTAATAATAATTATTTTTGTCCGATTCTGTTTAGACGAAATAATGCAGTATTCTAAATTGTATGAAGGGCTGTTGTATTCACTCAAATTAGCCGATTATTTTTTTAATCATGCATATAAGCTACATAGCTTTGTTCAAAGGCACACGAAATAGTGTAATAATGTAATAAATAGCTACGTATCACATTAAAATTGTCATTGTCAAACTTTCTTTCAATATCTTAATCCTTTTAATGTGAATAAAAATATATTTTTTAAATTACTAAAATTAAATTATTCGAAAAATTGTTTCCAGTTATTAATAGGTTGATTCAAATAGAATATGGCCTATGATGAGTAAACTAATTTTTTTAGAACGATTAGAGAATAATGTTATATGAGGTCTAATTCAATCACGTATATGTTGGTGGTCTGTCCAAGTATTATGTACAAAGCACTTAAATGTTTTCTATTCATTTGCCCATAATTTCCTACCTTCAATAGATACGATCCACAGTGCCAGCACGACGAAAACGACAATTTTTCTTAGTATGGGTCCCATTTCTTTGTCGCAATTGCAATGAAATTTCCAACTGATAAAGCAAACGAAAAGCAAAATGTAAAATAATTAAAATTTAAAAGTAATAAACCACGCGATAAGGATATATGCACCATAAATTTGTGTATTCCAAATCTACGGGGCGGTTTCTATTATGCCTAAAGTATCTCCTTTACGTAACAGCGCATCGGGTTTCTTATCATTTAAAAAACTTGATAGTATTTTCAAACTCATATTTGTTATCGAATTCATTACAATTTAATCTTTATATATTGCACTGTTTTGTTGACTCCATGCGTTACAATTTTCTCAGTCAAAGCACATTAGGAATAAACTTTAAAACTCACCTTTGTAGAATACTTTGAAGAAGCAATATGATATATACCACCAGCAACCATCTTTTTATATAGTTTTAATGTTCAAATTTTTTCATTACGTTTAAATCGGGAAATCCGGAAATGAATGATTAAATAAAAGCTTCCGACTGTGCATCCCTTTTTTACCGACTGTTTTCTATTTACCTCCCTGTTCATGCGATCACATACCTATTGAACGAAACGTATGCATACAATTTCGAGTGCAGGCGTACCAAAGATTATTTTCGCATAGTTTCAGATAAGTTCAAACAGTTCAAACTTACCCATGATTTAGATCTGTAATTAACTGGCATCCAAAGAAATACTGATATATATTACTTATATTTTTACTATACGACTGTAGTATTATATGAAAGTAAAATGATTCGATTTTCAATAAAGCTCTCACTCGATCAAGTATTTAGTTGTTTTAATTTGGACAGGTGCGCTGTTTCCGGTTGTGATTAAAGTGCTGAGATTAATGAGCGATAAACAAAACAGATATCATTTGGTTGCATACAGAAATCTTCCATGTTTAATATTCAGAAGTTTCCAGATTTTATAAAGATATGAATTTATATTCATAATTTCCAACGACCATCATTTCAAACAAGATGTAAGAAATGGAATTGAGAGTAACACTGATAAACTGAGGCTCTTCCAATCATATTATCTCTTTTCGTATGCGTTTCATTATCTGTCAAAATGTCTTATAGCAAATAAAGCGTTTTTTTTTTCAATATTTCCCTCTGTTTTCATGAGTATTTTCTTTTCAGCTTTCCCTGAATTACACAAGAATATTGAACTGGAAATAGTTGCAAATGTGTATATTTAAGTTCTCCTATTGTTTCTTCATATTACTCATGATATTCAAATAAATAATTAAATTGACAGCAACGTCATCCGACAACATTGTTTTGACCTGGGTCCTATTTTATCATTGGGTAGAAGTCAGGCTGAGTTGCAGTTGTTATAATTTGTTTGAGGTATATTATATAAAGATGAAATGCAGTTAATGGTGTTTTTAATTATTTTAAATAATGTTCAAATTACTAAAACATGTTGCCCGACACAAAAACATAAAGTGTGAATTAAAGGAAAAGTGCATAGCATATATATAGTGCTAATAAATTGATCTACATAAATCCGATAAATCATGTCGAAAACAATATGAAAAATGATATTTTGTTTCTTCCAACACACAAGCACACACATTATAAATTCGATTTCAATGAATGTTTTGGATTCTCTTTGAATTTTGGATCTGTTCTATGGTCTCTCAAAGCAAGATCTCGTGTCTTCGAAGCTCCATGTTTTTTTAATTCGGATCTGAGCTCCAGCTCTAACTCTGTACCCATTAACGTGTTTAGGTGTTACCAGTGACACAGCCAGGATTCTCAAAAGAGGGGGTGATTCATTAGAAAAAACCGACTTAGAGAAATCCGCAATTCTATAATAAAACCCCACGGAGTACATTTCAAGTCTCTTCAAGCCCAAGTATATAAGTTTAATCACAATGTACCTGTATATCGACTGCATGTAGACGTTGACGGTGAACAGTGGCCCAAAATATATGAACGCGTACGGCTATACGCCGGAAAAACGAGGAAAACTTGGGGAACAAATGAGTGAGCTCTCGAGAAATTTTGTCAAGAAGAAAAGCATTCATTTGACTACACTTTACGAAATATAGTTCGTCTGTGCCACCCACTTTCTTCATTTCCGCTTGATTTATGAAGTCCTACAGCTCATGTTGGTTAGAGTTACTTGCTTACTTATAAACTGATTTTGAAACGAATATAGGCGATTAGGGAAGGGAATACAAGAGAGAAGTGCAGAAAACTAACTCTTGCGTGATTGAAATGCCATTCCCGAAAATTCATCGTGTCGTAAAAACATTTCAACTGCATTACTCTCCATGTTTTCATCTACATATGCCTGTGAATCTACGTTCTCAGTTGTGAACTTTATTAAGTCTCGTAACAGGAGTAGCCCAAAAGAATTTCAGGTATAATAAAGATGAAATGCAATTACTGGCGTTTATAGCTAATTTGAACAATTTTCAAATTACTGAGAACATGTTGGCCGTTACAAAAACACAAAAAGTGGATTCAAAGAAACAAGGATTGATTATGATATAGTGCTAATAAATTGCTTGATATAAATCCGATAAACCCTGTCAAAAACAATATAGTAAATTTATTTCGTACTTTCAAACACACTAGTATAATTTACAATATATATTCGAATTCAATAACTGTTTCAGAAATTTCTTTTTTTGGCTTTATGCTGATCTATATATATTAAATATCAAGTATTATTTTGTAGAATAGGAGACGTTTGATACACGGTTAACGGTATATCAGTTAATTGGTAACTGGATTGCTTTGTAACCATTAAGTTGGAGAAACACAAATCCGCTTTTAATTGTCAAAATTTGTGAGCATACCAATTGGACTCGCACACAGAAGCAAGAAACCTCATCTCTCTAGGTTGGTTCGCTAGAAAAAAAAATTAAAGGATCCTAAAATTGCGGTACAGTCTCACTGCAATATAGGCTATCAAATGTTACAGCGAATACTAGAGTTTTTGATATGCAAGTTTCAAATCATTAATTAGTGTATTTCTTCCTCATTACATGCTTCCATTGATTGATCTTTTTGGTTGCCTTAAGCCAGGGGTTCCCAAGCTTTATTGGCCGCGGGCCAAAATTAGAATCGGAAAGATGTTCGCGGGCCGGAAGAATGTAGCGCCCAAGAGTGGATTCACTTTCATTTGACATTTTTTTGAAACATGCTCGTTTGACTCATAATAGCGCTCAATGTTGTATTCCTTCAGAACTGGAATAGTTCGTTGGCAAAGTAGAAGAATCTCTAAAGTTTGATACTTTTCAATGAATAAATACGAACACTGCCATTTATTCAAGAAACGTCAGTTTTCTGAGTCTAGTTTTCGTTTGATTTCTGACATCTTCAAGCTTTCCCATATGGCTGATAACTAAATTACTGTCCTATGTAAAACTAACACCGGTACCCATAATTGATATACTGGTATAATTGAATTGTTACGATAAACACGTCCTTGCCCTCATGACATAAATTAGCGCTATCTAGATCCCAAAGAGGTAGAAATGAAATCTGTTGAACACTATTTCACGTAAGCTCGGCTGGCCATTTTAAATCGTTACGCCGGCCGGATTTGGCCCGCGCGCCGCGGTTTGGGAACCCCTGCCTTAAGCAAAATCTCAATCACTAAATTGGGTTTAAAATTACTATAGGAACAAGCAGAACTGAGGAGGTGATCGGAAATAACCGGTGCTCCGGTAATATTTGAAATGTGGCTTCGGCCCCGGAGTTCCATTTTTTACGTCAGAGCTTGGCTCCAATTTATTTTGGTATGTCCTAGAAATAAAATTTAAATTTACTTTACATTAATTATCTTTTAAATCATCATAATCTCAGAAAAATCCGCGTTGGCCCTATAGTTAGTTTTACCATAGATCAGGGGTCACCAAACTTTTTTGACCGCGGGCCGGGTATGACTCAAACTGGGTTGAAACGGGCCGGATGAATATTTTTGTCAATGCAATAAAATAAATTCACAAAAGTTGGGAAATTCATCTAATTTATTTAACAATATATATTCTACATTTCTGAAGCACGCGCCACGAGTGTACAAGTGCATCTTTCGCAGAAAACGTTGCGTACCGGTAGAGAATTTGAGCCTATTTTTTCACAGCTATTTCTAGACTAATGTTTTATTACTACTATTAAAACTACAACTCCTAAGGATTCAAATGATAGTTGACTTATTTGATTCATACTTAAATTTCCGAAACACAATCAAAAACTAACGAATAGCATTCAAAGTCGCCAAAACGAAGTATTGTTTACAACCACGACTGGAAATCTGTCAGGATGACAAAAGTTATCTGAGCTTAGATGCGAAGAGGCTTTTTATTACGTCACGTTTTTTTTGCATCTTGCTGATTGGTCAATGCTACGAAATAAACAAGGAAGACGATGATCGGGGAAATCTTCCTTGGAAAAAAATTTAGCCATTTTTGCGTGTTATTGCGGGCCGGATAAAATGACGCCGCGGGCCGGATCCGGCCCGCGGGCCGTAGTTTGGTGACCCCTGCCATAGATAATAAGGTACACCGCCCACACAATTGATTGTATGTCGATTTCAGTGATGGTGTGGCTTCCAATGTCAAGTTGAAACATTGGTTGACATTGTCAACCAAACAGAATCATAAACACACACTTTTTTGCAATATATACAATGTCATAAAAGCGTTTTCTTTCCCACTTTCACCAAAGCGGAAATATGGTGTTTTCTGTTTTATTTTCGGTATTTTACATTGCATCTTTTCAATCGAAAAAATTTGGGTTGCGGATTCACTTCTTTATTTATCTTTATAGCATTCCTTTGCCGATGATTATAAATAATAATTCGTGATTCATAGTTCCGTCCAACAATGTAATTATTATCGTCCGAAATATGCTTAGGGAAATTTTGGCTTAGAGGAATATAAACATCGACATAAAGATTTTACGGTATAAATAACACGTCACACCGACAGCAATCAGCGATTTTGACCAAATGCAATCGCACACGTTATCAACAACTTTAAGATCTTTTGAAAATTTTAAAAAACGCGGGGAGGTTTAAGTCCTTTGTTCATAATCTTCAATTCTGAATCTGATTCCAAAAAAGACTAATTCTTTTCTGGAAAACTTTTATAAAGAGTTTTACTGTATGGAGCCAGGAGTCTTTTTTCTGTAACAAATTTGGTTTTTGGACCTTAATATTTCATATATTAATCCACATATATATTGTTCGTCTTGTTTCTATTAAACTTGTATCAAAGTTATCTTATCAAAGACTCTTATCACAGATGTCGCTGCCTAATAACCAACTTTGGTTTTTCGCGTCACCTTTCACCAGGAAATGTCATTTTCAACCTTTTTTAAGTATATGCTCACTTCGAGTACATTTTCATTTTGGTGAAAAATAAACTACTGACTGACTGTATTACTCATTTCGAAGACTATTCTGTAGGCCGGGAGCAATATTGTCCTAGAAACAGTATTTGAATCAATTGATCAGCTGTCCCTCATGCGCATTTTCATATCAAAAATTGTACAAGTAACTTTGCAAATTTTATTGTCTTACGTTGAAAGCTGTATTTATTAAAAAATAGTATTCTTGATGAGTTCATCCATAGTGACGTCTGCGGCTTGAAAGCATTTGAAATCTTTTCCTTCGGCCTGTAGAGAAAAACAAAATTTTTTTTTAATATTTTCGTTGGTTTAAAACTTATTTATCGTATTCCCATGGAAAATATTCTGTAATCTTTTGTCTGCCCAAAGTCATGCATTGGAAAATTCAAAAGTGTATAAAGGTCATTATTCCCAGTCAATATTAGGCTGATTAAAATGAAATCTGATTCATGGTTAGTAAACTAAATTTTCAGAACGATTGGAATATAATGTTATATGAAATCTAATTCAAACACGTATAGATTGGTGTCTTGCACAAGTAATATCTACAAAGCACCAGAAATAATTTTATATTCATTCGCTTATAATTTCCTACCTTCAATAGATGCAATCCACAGTACCAGCACGACGAAAACGACAATTTTTCTTAAGATAGGTCCCATTTTTTGTCGCAATTGCAATGAACTTTCTATCTGATAAAACAAACAAAAAGCAAAATGTAAAAATATTAAAATTTAAAAGTAATAAAACAATAAACTTGTGTCTTTCAAATCTAGATGTGTTTGGTGTCTATTATGCCTAATATACCGCCGTGACATAACAGCTCATAGACTTCAGTGTCATTCCAAAAACTTGATATTTCATTTTTATATTACTGAAATAGTTAGTCATACTTTTTTTTTAAAGTTGACATTCACCATATGTATGAAGAACTCATATTTGTTATCGAATTCATTACAACTTAGCCTCAATATATTCCAATACTCTGTGTACAAGAATCGATTACTCTATGCGTTTTTGTTTTCTTAAACAAAGCACATTAGAAATACTCTTTAAACAACTCACCTTTGTAGAATAATTTGAAAAAGCAATATGATATATACCACCAGCAACCATCTTTTTATATAGTTTTGGCGTTCAAATTTCTTCATTATGTTCTGATCAGGAAATGAATGATTAAATAAAAGCTTCCAGACGTGCATGCATGTTATTTATTTATCTTCCTGTTCGTGCGATCACATATTTATTGAAGGAAACGTATGTAAACAATTTGGAATACAGGCGTACCAAACATTCTATTCGCCAAGTTTCAGATAAGTTTAAACGGTATATCAACGTCATACTTACCCATGATTTAGATCTGTAATTAATCTTCCATGGTTAACATCTTGACGTTTCCGAGTTCTATAATAGTTTTAATTTATATTGATAACTTCCAATGACAATCATTTCAAAGAAGATGTAAGAAATTGAGTGAGGAATACGAACTGATAAGTTGAGGCCTTTTTCAATCATAACATACGTATGTGTTTTATTCTTTGACAAATTGATATATACCGAACTGATAAGTTGAGGCCTTTTTCAATCATAACATACGTATGTGTTTTATTCTTTGACAAATTGATATATACCGAATGAACAATTTTTTTTACGAGAACAAAAATCCCCTTCTGTATTCACGAGTTTTTTCTTTTCTGTTCCAGTGGATCGCCAAAAGAAAAGTGAACTTGAAATAGATGAAAATGTGTGTATTTTGTTGGGTGGCTGGTAAAGTGTGTCGGATTTTGGGGGTTATTGGTCTCCTGTTGAGAGTTGTCTTCGGTTTCAGGAGCCGTCTTTGATTTTTAGTGTTTTTATTGTATATATTGTTTTCTTACATTTTACTTACTTAATAACCTATTTGTTTTTTTTTTGTATGCTTTCTCTTTCTTTGGGGTATTTAGTTGTATTAAGATTGATGATTAATAAATATAGTATAAAATAGCATAAATTGCGATTTTATCACATCAGGAAACAGCTCATCTGTGAAATTGTTTCAACTATAACAACAAAATACTTAATCGAGTGAGAGCTTTATTAAAAATTGCATCATTTATTATGCCTGTGACTAGAAAAACAAAATTCAATGAGAATTCACCAACAACTTTTGCATTGTAGTAACAAATATATGAAGACGTATATGAATCCAATTATCAATATCATGGATTCATAAAATACGACAATCGTGTAGTAATATATATCAGTATTTCTTTGGATGCCAGATAATTACAGATCTAAACCATAGGTCCAAGTATGACGTTGATAAACCGTTTAAACTTATCTGAAACTTGGCGAAAATAATCTTTGGTACGCCTGCATTTCAAATTGCTTGCATACGTTTCCTTCAATAAATATGTGATCGCATGAACAGGAAGATAAATAAATAACATGTATGCACGGCTGGAAGCATTTATTTAATCATTCATTTCCTGATCAAAACATAATGAAGAAATTTGAACACCAAAACTATATAAAAACATGGTTGCTGGTCGTATATATCATATTGCTTCTTCAAATTATTCTACAAAGGTCAGTTTTTTAAAGAGTATTTCTGATGTGCTTTGTCTAAGAAAACAAAAACGCATGGAGTAATCAATACTTGTAAACATAATATTGGAATATATAAAGGTTTTAAGTTGTAATGAATTCGATAACAAATATGAGTTCTTCATACAAATGATGAATGTCAACTTAAAAAAAAAAGTATGACTAACTATTTCAGTAATATAAAAATGAAATATCAAGTTTTTGGAGTGACACTGAAGTCTATGAGTTGTTACGTCACGTAGGTATTTTAGGCATAATAGACATCAAGCACATCTAGATTTGAAAGACACAAATTTATTGTTTCATTACTTTTGAATTTTAATATTTTTACATTTTGCTTTTAGTTTGCTTTATCAGATAGAAAGTTTATTGCAATTGCGACAAAAAATGGGACCTATCTTAAGGAAAATTGTCGTTTTCGTCGTGCTGGTACTGTGGATTGCATCTATTGAAGGTAGGAAATTATAGCGAATGAATAGAGAATATATTTATAGTGCTTTGTAGAATTTGCTTGTGCAGGACACCTATCTATACGCAAATTATTTAAAGGTCATAAAACATTACACTTTATAAAATTTTACGCTTTAAAATTTTAGTCTACTAATCCCAAGTCATATTCTATTTGTATCAGCCTATTAATGACTGGGAAAAAATTTTCGAGTAATTTATTTTTAGTAATCTAAAAAAATAAATTTTATTCACTTTTTTTGTCATCATTTAACGACCAAGATATTGAGAGAAAGTTTGAAAAATGGCAATAATAAAGTGATGTATAGCTGAAAGCTGACTATTACAGTATTACCCCATTCATTCTGCTTTTGTACAAGTCAATGTAGCCTACATGCATTGATTGAAAAAGTAGTCGACTATTTCGAGTGGTTTCAACAGCCCTTCATACAATTTCGAATACTGCAACGTTTCGTCTAACCAGAGCGGGCAACAATATTTATTGGTATCTGAATTTGAGCAGAAGAAACGTTACACACTATTGTTTATGTAAATACGCTTCATAGGTTATGAACCACTGGAAATGTTAATATTTTTTTGTTCTTCTTCACAGGCCGAAGAGGAAGTTTTCAGATGTTTTCGCGTCGCAGACGTCGCTTTTGACTCAGATGAACTTATCAAAAATACTATTTTAAATAAAATACAGCCTTCAACAATTGACAACAAAATTTGTAAAGTTGTTTGTACGATTTTTATATAAAAATGCGCATGAAGGTCAGCCGGTCGATGTTTACAGTTAGGTATGGTTTGAATCCTGATTATAGTAAAATATTGCTCGTAGATTACAGAATAGTCTTAGAAATAAAGTATAGAGTAGAACTCATTATACGATTCGTTCAGAATAGAACTAGTTATATATAGAATTGGGTTCAGAATTGGATATCATGAACAAAGGACTTCAACATAAATCCTGTTTAATCCTGAAACTTGTTTATGACAGTTTTGAGTCTCGCCTACACGAAACTGCATTTGGGCTGATGTAGAATTGGTAACACCCATTGGCTCAGACAGGGAGGGGGAAGGGTCAACACAGAAAAAATAAGGAAGTATATCCACAACTCAAATTTCGTCGATTGAAAAGTGGAAATATAAAATGCTAAAAATAAAACAAAAAACACAATAAATGTTTTTTCTTGGTCGGCCCGTGACAGAAAAAGCTTTTTTATGACATTGGGAATAGATAAAATAAGTGTGCCTATGGCACGCATTATGATTGATTAACTTTGGAAGCCATACCATCACTCAAATAGAAACAGGGTCAATTGTGCGCGCGTTGTAGCTTTTTATCCACTGAGAACTGCGCGTGGTGCACCTTTTTATCCATGGTATACTGACATTATGACCCAATGCCGCTTCCTACCAGATTATGATGAAATACAAGATAATTTTTGTTAAGTGTATTTAATTTTATTGTTCTAAAAAGAATATTTTACCCTGCGGGTTATAAAGGTGGGGATTTTTCTAACCGTGATATCCTAACAAAATAAAAAATCACCATTGCGATAGAGCGGTATTCCAAGAACAGCTACAGCAAAGAACAGCAAAATATGAATCAAAACAAGATATAATCTAGCTATGTAGAACAAATTTTTATATGTACGGATTGCAATGTTGTCGGAAGAAGTTGCTTCTAATTTGAATATTTGTTCAAATATCATAAGGAATATGAAGGTACAAAAGTAGAACCTATTGTACACATTGACAACTATTTTCGGTTCATTTTTCTTGTGTAGATTTAAGAAAACTAAAAATAAAACACCCGTGAATACAGTAGGAGATTTATGTTATCGTAAAAGAAAATTGTTCATTCGGTAAAAATCAATTTGTCAGAGAAAAAAAACACATAAGTATGTTATGATTGAAAAAGGCCTCAACTCATCAGTTCGTATTCCTCACTCAATTTCTTACATCTTGTTTGAAATGATGGTCATTGGAAATTATCAATACAAATCAAAATCTAGTATAGAACTCGGAAACGTCAAGATGTTATTCATGGAAGAATTCTGTATCCAACCAAATGTTTTCTGTTTTGTTTATCGCTCATTGATTTTAGTTGGTATTTTATCACATCAGGAGACAGCGCATCTGTGACCCTGTTCCAACTGTAACAAAAAAAAATACTTAATCGAGTGAGAGCTTTACTAAAAATTGCATCATTTATTACGCCTGTGACTAGAAAAACAAAATTCAATGAGAATTCACCAATCACTTTTGCAATGTAGTAACAAATATATGAAGACGTATCTAAATCCAATTATCAATATCATACTTTCATAAAATACGACAATCGCGTAGTAATATATATCAGTATTTCTTTGGATGCTAATTAACAGATCTAAATCATAGGTAAGTATGACATTGATATAACATTGAAAGTTGGCGAAAATAAATATATGCTACGCCAACATTCGAAATTGTTTGCATAAGTTTCGTTCAATAATGTGTAATCGCATGAACAGGAAGGTAAGTCCATAACGTGTATGCACAGCCGGAAGCTTTTATTTGATCATTCATTTCACGATCTAAACCTATCCTTCGCAGTTCGTTAGAAATGTTACGGATCGGTGCAAAAACAACACGTATAGATTTATAGAAGTACAAAAGTTGATCCCTTTTTCTGCGTTTTTCTCTGCGACCAAGGCTGGAGTCAAGCTTACCATATCAGATGGAGCTACAAGAAATGGGTTCAACACCCCGCCGCCCTCGTTTTTCAAATTTTTTAAAAGTTGTTGATAACGCGTGCGATTGCATTTTGTCATGTTTTTGTGTCGGGCGACATGTTTGAGTAATTTGAACATTATTTGAATTAGCTATAAACGCCAGTAATTGCATTTCATCTTTATTATACCTCAAATAAATTATTACAACCACAACTCATCCTGACTCCTTCCCATTAATAAAATAGGACCCAGGTTAAAACAATGTTGTCGGATGACGTTTCTCTAAATTTAATTATTTGTTTGAATATCGTGAGTACTATGAAGAAACAATGGGAAAACCTTAATATACACTTCGGCAACAATTTCCAGTTCAATGTTCTTGTGTAGTTCAGAGAAATCTGATACTTTCATATTTTCATAAAACACGACAATCTCAAAGCAATATCAGTATTTCTTTTGAAGCTAGTTAATTGCAAATCTAAATCATGGATAAGTATGACCTTAATATAACGTTCGAATTTATCTGGAACTCGGTAATCGCTTGAACAGGCGGGTAAATCAATAGCATGTCTGAACGCAAGGAAGTGGTGATTTAATCCTTCATTTCCTGATCTAAACATAATAAAATAGAACATTAAAAGTATATAAATAGATGGTTGTTGATGACTTATACTATATTGCCACTTTATAGGATTCTATAAAGGTGAGTTTTGAAGATTATCTCTAATCTGCTATGTCAAAGAAAACCAAAGATGTATGTCGTCAGCAATTCTTGTATACAAAATATTTGAAAATATAGTGGTTAAGTTTTTTTGTAATGAATTCGTTATAAAAAATAAGTTTTTCATGCATATGATGGATGGTAATTTAAAGAAAGAGTATGACACCTTATTTCGGTAAATTAATGATGAAATTTTTTTTGAAATGACAAGAAAGCCGATGCGCTGTTACATCATAGAGATACTTAAGGATGGAATACTAATGAACACCACATCTAGACTGAGATTTGGAATGCATACACTTATTGTGCATATATTAATGATTGCGTGTTTCATTACTTTTAAATTTTAATATTTTTTTTTACATTTTGCTTTTTGTTTTCTATATCAGTTACAAAGTTCATTGCAGTTGCGACAAAGAAATGGGACCCATCTTAAGAAAAATTGTCGTTTTCATCGTGTTGGCACTGTGGATTGTATCTATTGAAGGTAGGAAATTATAAGAAAATGAAAAAAAAAATATTTTTGGTGACACCAATCTATACGTGTTTGAATTGGACTTAATATAACATTATATTCCGATCGTTCTGAAAATTTAGTTCACTAAACATAAATCGGATTTAATTTGAATCAGCCTAATATTGACTGGGAATAATGACCTTGATACACTTTCGAATTCTGCAATGCCTGACTTTGGACAGACGAAAGATTACAGAATATTTTTCATGGGGATACGATAAATAAGTTTTGAACCAATGAAAATTATAATATCTATTTTTTGTGTTTTCTCTACAGGCCGAAGGAAAAGATTTCAGATCCTTTCAAGCTACAGACGACGTCACTATGGATGAACTTATCAAGAATACCATTTTTTAATAAAATACAGCTTTCAACGTGATACAATAAAATTTGCAAAGTTACTTGTACGATTTTTGATATAAAAATGCGCATGAGGGACAGCCGATCAATATTTAGAGTTCGATGTGATGCAAATACTGTTTCTGGACAATATTGCTCCCGGATTACAAAATAGTCTTCGAACTACAGTGAAAATCTTTATAAAAGTTATTCAGAAAAGAATTAGTCTTTTTTAGAATCAGATTCAGAATTGAAGATTATGAACAAAGGACTTAAACCTACCCGCGTTTTTCAAAATTTTTAAAACATATTATGACGTCATACCCATTATATCGGGGTTGTCTTCAGCAGACATCGCTGCCGTTAGGTTGTGCGCCGTTATTAGATGTTGGTGTGTCTTGTCATTATATAGCGATTAAAATGAGTGCTTCACTTCTGAAAAACCTTAATGCGAATGAAGTTATTATGAGGATAGAAAATGAAGATTCAGGTGTAGGTCTATATTTAATTTTTGCAAAATTTCGTTAGTCTACGGTACCAACTAAAAATGAGTTTAGTAAAAGTATTTTATTCTTATAGATGACATGCTTGAAACCCAAAGTGTGTCATATTCAGACCCAGACTTTGTTTTTATTCAAGAGTGTGATGAGGAAGAAGAAAATTGGCAAGGTGTTAAATCTAAAAAATTAGCCAACTACGCTCAACGCAGTTCCACAGTGGCTAGTCAGTCCTGTTTTTGTTTTCAATTTATTTAATATCATCATTGCTGCTAACGTTACACTTTAAATCATGTTTTCATTATCTGTTTTAGACGTTGGGTAAAAGGAAACGCGTAAAACAGGCGCGCCCCTTTGGATGGAAAAATAATATTTGCAAAAGGAATCGTCTAGCTGGATTAAATTATAATAGCCGAAAAGGAAAGCAAAATATAGCAAGAAAAATGGGGATGCCGTGCAAATCCACTAATTGTCGAAAATCCAGCTTACGGCAATGTGCGAGTCTGACAGAAGATGAGAGACAGTGGGTTTTCAAAAAATTTCGGAAAATGGAATCGTGGTCTGAAAGACGATCATATGTCAGGGCTTCAGTATCGAAGGTAAACGATACTTAGAAACACTGATTTTATGTCACGATTTCCGCATCTCATTTAATTTTTACTGTTTCCTAGGTTACCACCAAGCAAAGGAAAATTGCTGAAAATACGTCAAGAAGAAAGTCATCTTTTGAATACCATTTACAATTACAAAAATGGAACATGCATTCTGGTGTGCAAAAAACTACAATTGGCATTAGCCAACAAACTTTGCTCTCGTGACTGGAAGGGCCCGCACCATTCATAAAGTTTTTGGACCCGCATCGTCCAAGAAAAGGTATGTAGCAAAGAGAGCAATTAATGCACAATGTAATATTCATTGAATAATGACTAAAACATTTTTTAAGGTAAAACTGTTTTCTTTTATCCAAAGGCAAGATATGGATTTCATTATAAAATGGTTACATGCACTACCTACATTGCCATCTCACTATTGCCGTTCTAGAGGTACCTATAAGAATAAAAAGTATGTATATCCCGGAACGACTGTTTCAAACCTTCATCGTTTATATTCTGAAGAAGCAACAAATTCTGAAAGACGGGTTATTAGCATCGCAAAGTTCAGGGACATATTCAACAAAGAAAATTTTTCAACATTTCGGCCTAGAAAGCCCCAATGTGATATTTGTGTGGAATTTTTGCATGGAAATATTGACGACGGGGAGTATAGAGCCCATGTAATATCAAAAGATGTGGCGACAGCTGAAAAAAATGTCGACAAAGAATCAGCTGATGGGAGCAGATCCGTTTGGACTATAGACTTACAGACAGTCCTGATTCTCCCCAAAACTCACGCCAGTTCGATGTATTATAAAACCAAACTTCAGATGCATAATTTTACTCTTTATAATTTGCAAACAAAAGAAGGATTCTGCTATCCATGGGAAGAGCACGAAGGCGATTTAAGTAGTGAAGTGTTTGCCTCGCTACAGTTCTCTCATTTCAATCAATATGTTACAGATCATCCTTCAATAAAAGAACTAGTGATATGGAGTGACGGTTGTGGGTATCAAAACCGTAATGTAATCGTCGCAAATGCATATTTAGATTTGGCACGGAAACATAAAATTAAAATAACGCTGAAATTTTTAACAACTGGACACACTCAGATGGAAGTGGATTCAATGCATTCCATGATTGAGAAAAAAGTTGTGGCTGACGTTATTACGTCACGTGATTACACGTAATCATTCAGTGTGCAAGGTCTCAGCCATTTCTATACCAGGTCAAGCCAGTACAACATCAGGATTTTAAGAAAATGACGGGGAAATACTTTGCCAGTATATGCCCTGGAAATACAGCAGGTGATCCAAAGGTGCATCATCTCCGAGCAATACAGTATACTTCCACTATTCACTGGGGAATTACTTCCACGCAGAATGCATAAACCTGAAAAACCATTCCAATGGATAAATTTGTTTCCAGGTCAACTTAAGATAAGCTGTAGAAAATTTTGTGACTTACAAGAAATGAAGAGTGCTGCCAACATACGCACATTGCTTTTATGACAAAATTCCACACCATTCATAATAAATAACTACCATATTTTCATTAAACAGAAATGCAAAGTTATGTTAGTTTTCGCTGAGTAGTTAATTTTACAAAAGTTTTTTTTTTCTTCTGTTTTTCAATGAATTCCCCATTGTTTGTTGAATGGCATTGTATGGTTGTGTTGACAAGATTAAAGTTATGATCGAATCGTATTTTGAATGTCGTACACACCTGCAATTCAGCGCTCTTTTTTATTTTTTTATACTTTATAATCAATATCTATGGAAAGTCTCATTTTTGGTGCGTGTTTAGAGCGCATTAATTGTTAAAATATATATTTCAAAAATGAAAAAAATATTGTTATTAAAACAGATAAGCTGTTTTGGGGTTTGGACATTGTAGAGACTGTAAATTACATTCGTTTTTTGAATGTTTGCTTTCAAGGAATGATAGTTCCAACAAAGTTGCGAAATTGCGTATGTCACCAAGTCATAGGCGCATTTCTGCGTAAGTCACAGTGCACTATTATGACGTCACATGGATGCGTCATACAAATTAATTTAAATCCGGCTACGACTAAAATAATGAATCACGGGAAATTATTTACTCTACATGGCAAAACAATACCAATAGGAAGTTTTTTACGTTTTTCTCGAAACTGATGAAAATGACTTACGCAATTCGGTTATTAGCGTGACGATATGTAAACAGCGCCATATAAAACAAAGATTCGAACAAACACACTTGATCCTTATTTATCTTTAATCAATATTTTTATATCATTATTTAGTATTAGATTTCAGTCTATTCATAAACGGAGAAAGTGCTTTTACAAATGTGAGTGCTGTCGAACAGCGATGAGCTTTCAAAATGTTATTGGACACGTGAGTGGACCAATGAATCGTTTTAATATTATGTTGTAGTTTTTCTTCTTCGTCGTCATGATAAAATTGCTTTCTTTTCGAATACTGGACCAATCGCTTTAAAATTTTCAGTGTTTGAAGATTGATTTTTTTACTTTTATTTAATCCTAATTTGAGATTCCGATGTTGATGCGATTTTACTACCCCGACTTATTGGCAGGTTATATGCCAAAACCCATTTTTTCAGGCTTAAAAACGGGCCTTGTCTTATTGACCGGGTAGACTTATTCACTGGAAAATACGGTAATTTTTATTTATGGGAACACAGTTTTCAATCCGCCAAGCGTGACTGCTGATTCTAAAAATCTTGATTCTGGAAACTCGGAAGTTTTTTGGGGGTACCGGTGGCGTCAAAGGTAAGGACTGCTTCGCTCTGGTCTACGTGTTTATATATTTGAGCATTGTTCTCTCGTTTTAGATTGCATTTATTTAGTACTGACATAACTTTCAGACATTTCAAGCATCGTGGTATTTTCCCTCCCATATCCTGTTAAAAATCTGTTTGAATTTGTCAGGTTTCTTTATAAAATCATGTTTACAAAACAAGAGAGCAATACCCACGTGTATACATGGGCACGGAACCCAAAACAATGTAGTGGGATATCTAATATTTTACAGTAGACTACCGGTACTACTGTCTCCATGACTTTGCCTGACACCTCAGACAGCAACAATCGCGATCGAAGAACCGCCACAAGGTTCGCAATTTTTTATTTTGATAACCACTGGAAATTTCAAAGTAATTAGCCTATTCCGTTCATCACTAGCTTTAAGCTTTCTATGAAGCCTATTACGATATTGCTAGCGGATTTTCCACACGGAAAAAATAGGAAGCTGTTCAACACACTATTCAACTTCGCTGGCTGTCACAGGCAAATTCGTCATAAAAATACCCAGCAAACACATATTGTTACATCACTAATGTCATTGAAATTACTAGTTTCATGACATTAATGATGTAACAATATGTGCTGACTGGTTATTTTATGACGAAACAACCCCAAATGCAATTTTGACTAACTTACCCTCCAATAAATGTGACGCGGGCCCAAGATAATGATGCTGTGAGCCACAATTACAACGCATCTCATAACAAACCAAACACAAACTAATGCCCAATTTATATTTTTCAAATAATTTCGTAATTTAAACGACACCTGGCTTAAATGGCCAATAGCAATATATAAATATCATCTTTTGTGGTGATGAATTATTTTCAGACAAAAAAATACCGTGAAAAAGCACATTGATAACAAGAATCTCATAGTTTATTCATTTGAGTAAATATATTTACAGAAACTATAACTGCTATATAACTATAATATATATTCATATCCACAAAATAGTAGTCTGTATAGATGGCTCCCGGAGAAGAATCAAGAGCGCGGATACCGGAACATAGTATGTGTACCAGATTAGGGTTAGGCCATAATTTTATTCCAATTTTCTATATTTTAGTTTTATCAAGAGTTCGAGGACTAGCCGAGTGACTCCCGTAGTATTTATACCTGATATCATGGCCTACCCTAACCTGGTACACATACTACGTTCCGGTGTCGGCCATATTGGTTCACATAATACGGGAGTACCGACATATGTATAAAGTAAAAACATATACAAAACTTTTATTCATCTCTACCGTTAACAAAAATTAACACAGCAGCAAAAAATATATACCCGTTAGAATTCAAGAAACAAACACGTTTTGTCAGTTATCTGATGCGCGTATAAGTGTCATAGTACTTTGAACAACTGTTTATTTTTTAAAACGTTCTGCGCATTCTTTTATGGGTGAGCCGTATGATGGAAATCTGCAAAGCTATTTAACAGAACTCTAAAACGATATACTTGTGAACACAACTCTGTATTTATCGTTGAATAGAATTTAAATAAATAAACATTTATTTATGACAAACAACTAGAAATCATTTAATAACAAATTACATATCTACAAGCGCAATATTATGTTCCAACAACAAAGAAATATGCCAGTGATCTATCAAATGTCCTTTATAATACTTCGTACAGTCTTCAAGTCTGATCTAGTTACCTTAATACTATCTCTTTGCTCATCCTCGCTGGTAAAATCTAAGGCATTTTGTTTTGCTTCAAGTGCTTGCTCAAGTAAAGATTTTGCTTCCGAATAGTTATGCAAGTCTGCGTTTGCCAGTCCGGAATTTGCCATCAGAAAGCCAAGGATTCGATGTTTCGAAGCATCAGTTTTGAAATGTCGTTTCATGCTGTCGATACCTTTGCTATAGTATTCTACAGACTTCTTTATCCTACCCAATATGCGATAAGCTAAGCCAACATAATTATTGCATTTTGCTTCTTCTATGATTTTGACATCCGGGCTTGGGTTTTCAATACCACGAAAAATATCTAGCATGGCCTCCATCATTTCCAATCCGAAATCTTTTGCGACCAATTTTAATCTATCGCCGGCTTTTACCATTTCATGAATCACGCATTTACTTTTTGCAACATTCTGTTTAAGGCATCGTATCGCTTCGTCAGAATCCGATTCTTTCTTACAAATTTCGGCATTACAACGCAGTAAAAGGAGCGCTCTAGCGAAATTTTCTTGTGCGTAATAACCTTCAACTAACTCCATGACGTCATCAAATTTGGGGCCATTTTCTGACGTCATGCTTTTGATTACTTCTGAGATATCCTGTTTAGAACGTTTCTCCCTTCCAATTAGCATGTTGCACTCAGCAACCATGACTTGGAGTTTTAGTCTGTTTGACTGTTCGTTTCTCTCTTCAAGGAGGTTTTCCAATATTTCGACTGCTTTTGGGTATTTAGCGTCGATCATAAGAATGGCTGCAAGTTCTAAATACAATGTTACAAGAAAACATTTCTCAATTTTTGTTATGGAAATTTATGAAGTACAACGATGATGCATTGACAATTGCTCTAAAAAGAATGAATTGTGGTGTATCCACGCAATGGCTATACTGTTTCAATTATAGTTTTAGGTATATATATAAATAGCCATTCATAGCTTAACGCCAGCATAAAATTATGTGACATTTCATAGCTAACAACATTTCTGAATTTTTTTTACTGAAAGCCCATACTAACCTTCTTTTAAGAAAAGATTAGGGTCCGCTTCCGTTTGCCCTATTCGTGATGAACCTTTTTTCTGGCGCGTGTTCTCAGAATCTGAAAATAACAGCAATTCGTAAATAACATTAGCACTACACTCCAAACCAAACAATATGCCTTTTTTGTAATATTTTCTAACGAAATCTTTTTTATAAAAAAGGTCCATTTTAGATTAATAATTATTCAATAGAAATTGTTCATAATTGTGTAACCAATTTCTCAACTTTCTTTACATGGCCCGTTAAATTGAGCAATCAAAAACGATTAGTTCCAAGATTTTTTTCAAAACTGATTTTTTAGAGCAGAATTAGAAAGATTTTTGAGTGGATAATATTAAGAATTTAAACACTTTTTCACGCAAATTTTCTTGACCGCTATGCTAAAATTTTATTGCTGTTTTTGAGAAAAAAAAATATTTTCTATGAACTTTTGTTCTAATTGTTTGCAAATTGTCAGTATTTGAAAAGACTAGAATCTGTTATAGTTTATTTATTTTTTTCAAAATTTATTTCAGTCTTAGGGTGCCCGATATTTCACCAAAAATTCTGTTTAAGCAACAATTGACCTGCTGTCTATTTTATGCAAATTATGTTCTTCCATTTATCTATCTCTGCCCTTTCATTTTTCATTCATGATTCTTCATTACTAATATTTCACTATTGTTTACTTTTGGAGTCTTATACTAATGACTACTATTTGGCAACACAATCGCCATCTACGGTGAGAGCATTAAAATGGTGATTGGGACAATATATTCATCCCCATTTCTAACTTCATTAACAATAAAAGTCGAAATATTCTCAAGAATGTACCTTTTGGGGTATTTTTTACCAATCTAAGTCCACAATCTTCATACAAACATTCTTTTACTGTATTGTCGACCGCATTACCTAAAAAGATACAACGAACAAACTATAAACTTATATAGAATATATATCTAAAACCTATACCCAATATCTTGAAAAAAGTAAGATAAAAATTATTGATTAGTGATTGGTAATAAGAGAGATACTCAGAATATGTGCAGTGTCTTTATCATATCATGCTGTGTTTGAGATTTTCTGTATAGAAATTCGAAACGTCGGCAAATCATGTTGTTTTGCTATAATATCAGCAAGAATCTTGAATCAACTAGAATAGTTATCTTCAATCATGCTACAGCATTCTTGCATTATATTCAATTCAAATGCATAGAAGAAGGATACGTCGGGCGGACAGAAACCCAATCGATAGTACAGATGTTCGTTGCGACTTAAAAATGACAGCCGAAAAAAGAAAACACGAACCATGATTATTGGACCAAACTGCAGCAGTTGTTCAACGATATATCACCTATACCTAAAACCAATCAAAACTGTGCGCAAAACGAGCGCATAGGATAAATAAGTTTTTCAACTTCGACATAGTCGATCCGACATTGCTGATGGTTAGTGAGCCCTGAGCTAATATCTTAAATGGTGTAATTATGTCTTAAAACCCTATACAATGTGAGGTATCGAAACATGTCAATTTATACAGAACGTACTTTCTTTTTCGAGTTTTTGACTCAGTTTCCGCGTCATTCGGGGTTGTTCATCTTCGTAAGCTCTCGGGCGTACCTTTACTGCAAGAAATATTTTTAATAGAGTTATGAAGGATTCAGTGGAAGATCTAATAATTAATATAAAATGTATTACACAACAAATCATAACTAATATAATAGCCTATATAAAATGCGCTACAATACATGTTATTGATGACTTGTCATTAATTACTGTTTTTTTTTTAAATAATGACGAAAATGGCACGAAGGGATGAGGGGCTACTGTGCCATTGCACAAATCATAATCAGGATAGATGTTTCAAACATTAGACATTTTGCACCCAAATCAATTTACATACCCGATGCAGCAGCGCTCTGTACATGCTTAGAATCTGTCGTTTCAATGAAACTAAAAATATATTATTTATTGTTAATTCAAACTTTCAATATCTAAATATTTTACTTTCCCATTAGTAGGGTCAATTATTAAGAAATGTCAGATTGGCGAATACTTCAGCCTCGGTGTTTTCCTTTAAATGTTGAATTATTTGTGCAAACATTCCCATACAGCTTGAAGCCCGTAAGACTAATTCGTGCATACTGCTGTGGCTCTGGTAGCATTGTTGCGTGCTTATTCAAACAAGAGAACGATGCTCAAATATATGAACACGAAATCAAAACGCCGTAGTACGGGTATTCAATCTGTCACAGGAGACTGACTAGCGGTACCAGCCGTGATACGATGTCATACAAAAGTGGAAAACAGTCATCGCGATGTCATAAAAACATGTTCCCATAATTAAAAATTATACATCGTATTTTAGATGAAATATCAGATCTCACAGAAAAATCAAGAGCGAATGGAAGTAATAGCCTTCTAGCGAAAAATATGGTCTTTACCCACTGAAAATTCAAAACAATTTGTCCGGTAGTTAAAGAGGAATTCGATTTATGTATAACGATAAGTAGAAAATTACCAACAAGAAGAATTAGAACAACAACGTAATAACAAAACGATCCATAGGTCCATTTCGTGTCCAATAATCGGTAATTTTGAAATCGATAGGGGTCCGGAGCTGTCCATCGAGTTTGCTGAGGATATCGACAGACAAGCACGATAAGGGAATTTCACCATGAGGAAATAAAAGTTTGTTCCCAGTTTTCAAATAAAACAGCAAAATTTAGGATGAAACATTGGGTCCCATAAAATCTTGAGAAATTTGAAAAAAAAAGCAATCACGTTCTACGACTCCTACCGTCTTGGAATACTATACATTGTAATCGACTGGTCCATTACTTGTGAGAGAAACGAATTTTTTTCGAAACACAACAACAACAACATTAACAACACACATTTAACATAAAAAGACACATATGCATTTCGTGTCCAGCTCCAGAAAAGTCATTTTTCGTACCCTTTTGCGTTCGAGTCAGCAGCATTGGGTGCTCCTTTTTCAGTTCCTTGAATTGAAACCGGATCAGTATCTTTATATCCGCCCTTTCTTTTTACTTCTGGTTCACAGGTAGAATCTACAAATTGTCACGTAGAGAATTTATCAATATCGCTAACATAATTGAAGTTGACGATGGGCTAAATGAATTAATTGATAAGCATACCTGAGGCAGTAATCTGTCCGATATTTGATCCCAAAATTTCAGTATTGTTCCTGCAAATAAAATACAAAGATAGTTTCTTAATCAAACTTTGTATTGGAAAATATACCACTCATTCTTTGGCAACAAAATAAAATATTTTTTAAAAATCATTAAAAAAATTACACGCAATTTCATTACTTGTATTAGGTAAATAGAAACTTTTACTTACTCTATGTTATCACTGTTAATTTTGACTTGATCTCCTTCTTGGATAAAATTTACAGTGACATGTATGGGCGGTTTACCTGGTTGATGTGCCATATTTTAAAAATTTATTATGCTTTAAAAAATAGCTGAAAAAATAAATCGAAAAATTGATCCCATGATATTGAAAATGTTTTCACTTCAAAAAAGGCAATAATTCTAAGTTTGTAATCGCGAATTAATAATGTTTCTATTATTCAACATTAGATAACGTATAGATTGCATCATCTTTTTATCTGTAGAATAAAATGCAGCACTCGGCCTCGGCTACTCAAGTTAGGTGAGCAACTTAACTTAACAAGACTAAGTTACAGAGTAATTTAATTCAATCCGTCGCCTTTAAACTGTTCATTAAACCAACATAGCATTGGCATGACTTTGACATAAAATGAAGTTTATTCCAATATTGTCGAATGGTGTGTATCATTTCAAAATTTGACTCAATCAAAAAATAGAAGTATTCGTATACAAGTTTCCCATAAGACTTTTGCAACTAAGAGAGCCTACAAACGAACATTACATATGAATGAAATAGCCTTTTCGCTACATTCTACATTTACATCCTGTTTAAAAAGACATATACACTCGCTGTATACATAATATGTTTGATAAACATACACGCACTTCTCATTCATATACATTTGTATGAATCTATTGAATAAGCAAAGTTACAATAATACAGCAACTCGTCTTGTATTTTTGAAAAGCGTATCGCTAAAATCTGATTCAGCCGGTTTCTGCTCACTAAGGCAATCGATTGACTTCGGGAATTTTGTCACTTCCTGGTACAAAGTGCTCTAGTCATTTAACGTCCATCGATACCGCGTTCAAATACCCACGCTTAGCTGAGTTCATATAGTAAACCAAACAAGACTTGAATATTATAAATTGCTAAGCGATAAAAGATTGTTGCTAACGCTAATTAGGCCCGAGTAACTCATAGTTTCATGCAAAATAGTTACTTATGATTTGGCGCTTCAGAAGTGTGCCTACTCCACATCAATTTGTGGAAAGGCACTGAAACCTGTGGACAGGGGGTATATTCACTTGGCTAACACATACAGTCCACAAACTCGTAATGAAATTGGAAGAAGGAAAATCGGAATAAAATTTAAGGCCTAACTCTAACCTTTTACACATACTACAGAAGTTCCCATAATTTTGTGAGCAAAAATCATTTAAGTGTTATCTTAATTCCAACAAAGTAATAAATATGATTGTACAAACTTACGATTGTAACATTGTAAATTGAAGCTGCATTCATGATAAGTGAAAAAGATAAATATCCAATGTAAACAAACGGAGCTCTGACAATTTGTTTTAATAAGTTGCATATTCGGAAGTTGTATGTATGTATTGTATTATATGTACGTATGTAGGTGCTTTGGTAAGACTTCAGCGTCATAAAATTGCCCACGTTATCTCGCTTGCTTAAACGTATTATATCGAGTAATTACTAAATTACTGATAGAATTATCTATATGAACAGAAATACTGCAATAGATTTTATATTTAAAAAGTTACCATATTTATAGCCCCCAATCCGATAGAATTAGGTTATCAATATTATTTGCTGTGCGCGATTGCTGCAGACAACTTTGACGTTGACAGCTTAACTACAAAAAAAGACGCAAATATAAATATTTTGAAGTCTGGTAAACAAAGTGACGTTAATTGATATATAACAATAATAATTGTTACATCGTATGTTCATTTAATTATCCTTGAACATGTGCATATTTTTTTCTTTTACTGCTTCCGATTAAGTAGATTTCAGAGTCGCTATCAATAAATAATTATTTATCAATTTACAATATTGGAATCTCAATTAAAAATAGAACTTGAGGTCATTTAATGTAATGTCGCTATGTATATGAACTATACTTATTTCAAAATTGAAATTTTATGGTGTCACCCAAAATAGAACGCTGTTTGAAAAAAGATGATCCCCGTTTACAAAAATAGTCTCATTGAAGAGGGCCTGTTCATTCATTTAAAGTTTATTTCTCACTGCATTGAAAAAAACGAATAATTTCAATACAACCCTAGAAAACACACGTTTAGAAATTCCACTTGCATTTGGCATCAATTGTGTAAACCGTGTAATTGCCTGGTCACACGATTGTCATCATGAAATATACAAACACAAGATGACAATATTGCAATAAGCAATTTTAGTCAGAAGTAACAGTCAGGTTTCTGGTTTAGCCTAATATCTGTCAATTTTATATTATATAAATACGGTATATTTATGACATAGAAAAGACAAGGACCACTGACTCGTTATGTGGGCTAACTGGGAATATGACGTAGTCAGAAACATCTTCAAGTCCACCATCATGGCAAAACTCTGATGAAAGGAAATAATCAAATATTATATGCACTCTATCAAAAGTGGAAAATTTAAAGAGATGTTATGAATTGAAATTTAAAATATCAATAAGAACGAAACAAGGAAGTACAAAATCTTTCATTCGAATCGGGCAGCTACTATTGAGTGCAATGAATAGAATCTATAAAAATGAAAAAAATGTCATTGAAGTGCAGTGAATTAAAAATTGAAATAATTATATTCTATAGCAGTGGTTCTTAAAGTATGGGTCGCGACCCAAACATTGGTCGCGGAAGGTTTAAAAGTGGGTCGCGACAAGGTCGTCAGGGCAAGGACAATCTAAGAGGAGAAGGACGAATTTTCAGCTTTCCCAATGATTCAATTTAGCTTCTAACTAAACTCTGGTATTTAAAATTAATGAAATATAAAGTTTCATTCACGGAAACAACTGTCTTGAGCTCATTGTTACATCACAATTTTGATATGCAAGTCACGTGTATTATTTTATGGCATCGGTAACCATGCACGTCGATTGTCGTTGTGTTGACCTCGCGGAATGTCGTCTTAGTGGATTAAAATAACCAAAAATGGGTGTCTTTTTGGTAATGTAAATTGTAATAGACGATGCAATGAAAAAGTCGCTTCTCAACATTAAATTATTCAATATCTAGAGAAAATGTGACTTCATCTCGAGGCACCATTTACCGCGAACGAAGCAGTGTGCGCACATTTGATGAGTAAAAAGTTGTATATTGCGAGAGATACCTAAGTCCAGCTAGAATGTCGTGTTTGCGACAGACAGCGGACGAGGTTTCTGCTACAATTCGCGACAAGGCACCTGTGCGAGCGAGAATATTTGGCACTGACTGATATTAAAACTAAGCTCGCAATCGCCTCGATTCCGATGACAACTTGCGTATTGCGCTCAGTAAAATAAAGCTGTGTATTGAAGATATAATGAAAAGGAAATTTCAGTTTCATCAATCTCACTGAGTCAATGGACTGTTTCTAATAAATAGTTGTCTGTATTTGTACGAACATTAAAAACACATTTTGCGTTATTTAGGATTGGGTCGCGAGTATTCATAAAATTCAGATTTGGGTCGCGCTCGAAAAAGTTTAAGAACCACTGTTCTATAGGATCGAAAATAGGACCTAGTTATAACATAGCTGTCAAATTGGGCAGCTACTGTTGGGTACAATGTACGGAATCTTTAAAATATTTGGTCATTGAAGTGGTATGAATTAAAATATACTAATATCTATAGTATCGAAACAAGAAAGTACGTAACTTTGCTTCAAACTGGGAGGCTATTGTTGCACCAAAATATGATATCTTTACAATGAGATGGGGGAGAGCTCATTTGGCCACTAACAATAAAATCATGTTTGGAAAAGAATTTCGATTTGATTGATTAAAAACCAATATTCAATTTTTTGGTGACCTGTAGGTTCAATTGATGACAATTTTTGCGGGTCTTTAAAAGTTTAATTTTTTTCTTTCAAATATTTTTTAATATCTATTTCTAATAAAATGAACTATGCTATGAACAATCCAGCCATGTCTCGTCGTGCTAGAACAGCTTAAAGTGCTAAATATGCACGTGCTTTTGCTTCTGGTATATATAAGGTACAGCGCTGTCATTTGCTAATATTGACATACACTACCGCAAAACGAAATGTTAGTCCAGTGAGCTAAGCAACTTTGACGGCTTGACAATGAAGTCATTTTGTGAAGCTTGTGTGTTATTTCACCATCATGTTTACAAGATGATTTCAATCCGATTAGTACGCTCGTGTTTATAACCATGTTTTCGCCATGATAATGTAGCTGACAAAGCACGAAATAAAATACGATGAACTGAATATTGGCCATGTAGTTCATAATAGGATTCATGTTTATTACGATTCACAGCAAAATCTGCAAGTTGTTTTCAAGTGGGTGACTTGCTAGCTGGAGATACCAATCTAAAAATTGGTAGTATTATTTGAGATATGATCTGACATACTGAAATAATACTGTAGGTCAAAGCATTAAAAGTAAACATTGATAATTTAACGTGAAGTGGTTAAGCTGCTGACAATGTAAATAAATGCGACTGTACATAGCATTCATTGATTCAAATTTAATTTTCGATAAAACTCATTGAGCCCATTCTCTGATGTGTTGATAAAGTATACGATGCTGTGCAGGTTTTGCCCAAAGAGATCGCACGGTTGTTTATCGGGGCCCAGAAATCACTCAGTTGATGAGTAGCCATGACACTGTTGTGGTTGGTTTGACGCTTAATTTCAGGTAGTTGTCAGTGGCTAGAAAAGACTTCATGAAGTTGTCTTCATGAAGACTTCATCTAAAAGTTGTCATTAGTTGAGATTTTAAATGCGCCATTTACACTATTGGCATAGTGTCGGATCAGTTCCCGCGCGCGAGTGTGTAGAAAACGCTTACGACTTCGGAACTTGAAGCGAAAGAACTGAAGTTTCATAAGGTGCGTCGACATATTATGTTGTTTCAAAACGTAAAACTTTGAACTGTAAGTAAAGTTCATATGTCTAACCAACATAATATATCAGAATGTATATAGCATTTAGCATTTGGCTTATAACAGATTAACTAGGTTTAAGTCCTATTTGAAATTGCAAAAGTTTCTCAAGTAGGTCGTGAACCTGTCTTATAAACATCAGTACTCGATGAATGCAGTCTCACCAAAAATTTTGTTAACTCGTAATATTATTTATAAAAACATCTGTGATGATTGTAGCGTAAAATGAAACAAGAGATCGATGTTCAAATAGGCTATATAGACACGAAATCCAAAGCAAAGTACTCTTCGTACCGTACCTACCGGTATCAATTAATCCCCGAGTTTCACGTAGCGTCGCGTCGAATCGGAAACAGAAAAATATAGCAAAATATCGGAATTAGGCTTGCACGTAATTTACGGATTTACGGAATTACGGAATTATTTCGAGTTACGGAAGCGAAGTTACGAATTACGTAAATTCGTAATTATTGGTGGAGCGCTTTCGCGATTGAAACGAGCTCTCTTCAGAGCAGTCAATTCCGTCGACTGTAAAAAATTAAAGTTTAATAAGTAGAAGAAGTTAGAGTTCCGGTATTCGCAGCCGTTTTTCTCTCTCTTGTTACGCAGATGGAGAAGGCATAACGCGTTGCCATTTAATAACCTATTATCAACTTATCTAGCATGGCAAATGTACATATTAAGCGTAGATATGGGATAGAATTGTGTTGAGACCGATGGAAGCCAACACACCTGGTTTCAACTTCTTCGGGTGAAATGACTTAAGAATGTAAGAGATCAACTTACCAAACATGGTCTATTTGTAAATGCCGTGATAAATAATGTCGCGCTTATCAAACAGAAATATGACGACGGAAGAGAAATTGCGTAATGAACCAACGCAACTTAGTCTTTTCGGCATCGGAAAGCGATTCAGACGGCAGAGAAACAACAAAAAGACGGGATTTCCCTTGTTTATTCTGCGCGAGATCCATTTTCTATTACAAAATCTTGATGTTCTGTTACCGGTTTTATCGTTATATATCTGTCCGGACTTGGCCTTGTTTTCACAATGCCTCGCACTATTTCGGCCAAATATGTCTTTACAAAATCTTTAAGTCTTGCGGCAACTTATTTTGATTTATCGTCGACTCAAATACCACCGGCACTCGACCAAACTTGTGTCAATCTCAGCCGATAGGATTGTCGACTTGAGTTAGAAAAGTAAATTAATATTTTTGTGAGTGCAAAATAAATGTCACAAAATGCATTGTTTTGCGATATACCTTTGTATTTTCGGAGTTAAATTATGCGCAAATAATTAATATTTGATCTAAATTTATCGCAAATAATGTTAACATTTAGGCCGCGAAATGATTTAATGTAAAATGAAGCATGGTAATCGGAATATCGTCAATAAGTCGGCATCAATAATTATTATAAAATGCTAACTAGGTAGTAAAGTCGGATAATGTAAAAAAACGGTACAATAACAAGTCTTCGTCGCGAGGCAAGCGCAAGTATAATCAAACGAGAGAATACGCTCGTCGTTGATTTATAAATTAGAAACCCGGAATTTTTATTTAAGACGAAACTCGTATTAATACGTTTATACGATTTAAAAAAAGTCAACTATCGTTTCATAAATATATTACCACTTACCAGTGTTGGTAATGATGAAATTGATCGCATAAAATTGGGTGATAAAGTTGATAAAGGAAAATTAAAGCTAACACAAAAGATAAAAATCAGAATAAAATTAATTTGAATTCACTCCTTGATATTTGTCTTTAGCATCTGTCGCCGGCATGTAGTACTGGCGGAAATATGAAAACCAAACTGTCCCAACTGTCGATGTCCCATTCGGAATAGATGTGGATTAAATTGGTTGTTATGATAGGTTTAAAAGTGTGAAAAAAAATATCGCAATTACGGGGTCATTACGTAATCGAATTGGCCGTAATTACGGAATTGATTTTTGTCAATTACGTGCAAGCCTAATCGGAATATATATCAGATCTCATAGGACAACGATTTTTTCATAACATATTTTAGCTAGCTATTGTTATTTTTAAAGTAATTTATGAGCATGGACGACTCAGAAAGTGGATACAAATGGTTGCGACACACTATTTTGTTGTGTAGTTTTGGATTTTTCACCCACCTAGTACCGTCAGAAGCATTTATAACCCCATACCTGAAAGTGAGTAAACGTATTTGGGACTTCTAACACTTAACTGCTCTGATGAATTATCAACAAGCCCTCTGAGGAAACTATTACCATTGGGCTCGAATTCATTTAAACCCAAAATCAAGAGAACGCTCAGGCAAGGACTTCAATCTCATGATAATAATTTTGCCGGTTTGATGCGCTTTAGATTTTTATCTATTACGCCAGTTGAACTCATATACAAAAAAAATCGTTTTATTTCGTGCAGTCCATTATTTTGAAACGGATCCATATTTTTCTTTTCACATTTGAGAGCATATCAATTAATACGATTTAAACTCATAGTGCACGTATTACACCAATCATTCAGAATCCATTTTAAAACCAAGCGCAGTCTCAAAAAAGACAGGACAGGAATGCCCAGCTGACAGTATGTATATAAATAATTTGATGCGTTATATGATCTGCTAATTAAATTTCATGATTGCTAGAATTAAGATTACCAAATTCATCACAATCAAACATAATCTCACGCTATTTTTAACCTATCAAGGGTCCTCACAAAAATTTGACAGATCAAGAGCTTGTGAATCAGATTTTTCCGGTTTGGTCATATTCGTACACCGCTTTTCTTATTCCAGTATTCTTACTGACTGACTATCTACGATACAAACCTATAGTAATACTGCAGGGATTGGGGTAAGTATTTGATTTATCATAAATATTTTTGTTGTCAAGAGCTAATAATTTTGGAATTTAAACTTCCTATTTGAATCGGGTTATTGAGTGCTATTAGGTTTTCAATTTTCAAATCAAGAATCAAATGTGGGAAAAATTTGTCGTTTAAATCCGTATATTTTTGCTTTGAATTATTAATAGGTTCATCGGATCCTGCACCTTACTGGTGTTTGCAAAAGGAGTTCCAATGATGCAATTAATGCAAGTTTCTTACGGACTCGCAACTGCGTGTTCTATAGGGTACTACTCTTACATATACAGGTTGGTAAAGAGTAAAGACGTAATAAGTTTTGAAAGTTACCAATCAAGTTCAATATGTTAACAGTAGAGTTTTTATCCCTGAGGGAGTGGGTTTAAAAACGTGGCCGGTAATCTGCATTTAGCTTCGAACTTTTAAATAAGACCAATCGAGCGGGAAAAGATAATTTTGTCGCAAAAGCAAGTTGTGGTTGTCAGGGGCGTAGCCAGAACTTTTCAAATTTCTAATTCTATAGTCTTGAGGATCAAAAATACGTTTCAAGCTACGTATCATTTAAATTGTTGTGTATGGTGACGAGAAATGCCTTTTTTACATTTTAAAAGGGAGTGGAAGGTTCTGAACCACAATCCCCACGAGTACGGCCCTGATGGCAAGTTAGATTTCGTCACGTCCATTCTATTTTAAATTTTGCACTGGTATTCATTTTATCAATATTACGAACACTAATACAAGCAATATTATTTTTGATATATTTTATCATTACTTGAGCTTACTATCGACTTGTCTGTGTACAGTGTTATTGATCCTGAATATTACCAGAAAGCTACATCATATGTGCGAACTTCAACTAAAGTTGGACTCTTCATTTCGGCTTTGCTGTCTCAATTACTAGTATCTTTGGCTCGCCTGGATTATTACTACCTGAACGTGATTTCATTGATCAACGTTTCAATTGGCTTTGTGATATCTTTGTTTTTGCCTTTCCCAAGTAGAAGTTTGTATTTTTACGGCCAGAATGAAGCTGTCAATAGCAAAATTTCAACGGAAGGTGGAAACAGGTTACTGGAAATCACAGATCCTGGAGAAGAGCAAGTACGATAAAAAAAATAGGAAAATGTGGAGAGTAATTCTTTGCAAAGCACTCAGACTTTATGTTTAAGTTAGACATACACCTATTTATTGCTTTCTGCAAATTATAATCCGCAATGGAAATCGAATGTTTCCGAATGAACTCAAAAATTTAAATATATATCAATATTATTGCATTTTTTCTTGTTTTAAAGCTTGAAAAGGAAACGCAAGGAGGTAAAAGAAGTCAACAGTCTGTATTTTCCAGCTGGAAAACAGTTTTGCACCATCTATTGGGTGACATACGACAATGTTATTCAAATTCCCACCTCCTACGATGGTCAATATGGTGGGCATTGTCAACTTGTGGGTACAGTTTCGTAGTAAACTATATTCAGAACTTATGGGAAATAATAGCACCTAGCCAGGGAAAAGAATCGGGTGTGTACAATGGTGCAGTAGAAGGCGCTGCACAAATTCTAGGTGAGTACAAAAATGAGTCTCTTTACTAACTTCAAACTATATTCACCACGAAGTCGGCGATGTTATAACTGAATTGTACTTGTAAGAAATCTATAAGGTGATGAAACATATAAATCCATTGGCAAACTGTAACCAGAAAAACCCAGTTGAGCCAATATAAAGATGATGTAACACATAAAGCATAATAGTTCAAATCGACTGATAGCGCTTATAGCAGGCATGGGCGAACTGCGGCCCGCTGGCCCGTTTGGTAATTCAATCTGGCCCACCTGATGCTGCCACAACTAAACTAAAACCAAATTTTGCTGTTTTAGCATAAAATTGCAAAGGAATTTGTTGGGATTGCGATTAAATTTAGTTTTGGCAAGAGGCTCATCGTTTTCTACTTTTACTTTTGTAACATTCCAAAGATTGTTCATAAAATGTAACCCTTACGTCATACTTATATGGACCGCCAGTCTAGATGGGCGCAATTTTGCCCCCTGGTCCGAAAACCTTGAATGCCTCCCCCGCCCCTGCCTATAGTGTAATTGCTGACATGTCAATGAATTTCTCTATAAAAAAATGTTCAGGCGCTGCAGCTGCATTCTCGGTTGGATACATCAAAGTGGATTGGAAAAAATGGGGTGAAATGTTTTTGGGGTTTGGTTCAGTTATAAATGCGGGACTTCTTTTTGTAATGTATATGACAAGTGAAATACTGATTTGCTACGTTGCATACGCTATGTTTATAGGGCTCTACAACTTCGTCATAACTATTGCACAGTAAGTACATATATATATTTAGATATGAGCAGGGGTTTTCATACACCTCACTATAGGGGTGAACACCCCACAATAGGGATGAACACTCTCCTTCCCCTCTAAAATTACAAACACTCCTCCCTCTTATTTTCAGGTGTGACACCAATAATTTAATTCTTAACGTAAATAAAATTGTATTCAAATATTCAGAAATTGGCTCATTCATATGCCAGTGAAGATGATCAAATACGTAACACATTTTTATAAGTTACAAATAGTTTTATCACTAATAACAAAATATCTACCATTTTCTAAATTTGGAAACATGCGTAATATAATATATATAGTAATATTTACATGCGTAAGAAAGGTGACCTAATTACAATATTGTTCCCTTCTATAAACCAGATTATTTTAAACAATGATGTGAATATGAGCTTAATAAGCGCTAAATATAGATTTTGCTATATGTCATGTTTGATACTACGCTTGAGTGCTACGTTTATATAATATCATCTTAAAGCGGTTGTTCAAATATGTTGTGTTTAATTTTCTGTCTACGTGTCTGATGTTTTCGTGCTTACTTGCAAGTAGAGCAATATTTAATTACTTATGATGGAACCTATGCTATGCTTGTTTAAGACATGAACATAAACGAAATGATAGTATTGAATGTGGTGGTTGTTCCCAATCCGGTACAAGGTAGAAAACAATCAAGTATAATTTGTTGTAGAAGCCGATTGATGACATAGCAAAATGCCCTCGTCTGCATTTTAGTACCGTAGGACTGGTTCGATAAATTACGGATACAATAGTGCTATATTTCTAGTCAATTTCGATAACGTTAATTTGCCTGAAGTCAGATACTTTATTTATGAAATCTTTGACAAAATGTTTTAAGCACTGTAACGAGAAATCAAATATCGGTGATGTCATTCAACAGTTCAATCGGCAGGAATAATTTTATTTGTTATTTTACGTTCAAATACTGGCGTTTTTATAATATTATGCATTCTTAGCACTCCTCATTTTTTAAGATTTCGAATTGCCATCGGACTGTCCACGGAACGTTTTGCTCTTGTGTTTGGGATAAATACATTTGCTGCAGTTGTTTTGAATTCAATATTAACGTTGATAATTGTAGATGATGCTGTACTGGGTTTGGACGCCAAAACGCAGTTTTTATTTTATAGGTAAGTATTGATGTTACAACACAGTCACGTTTAAAACTTCTATAAAAAACAAAATCAAGTGACATTTACGGGCTATATGATGCAGTCACGATTAAAAATAATACGGCTGTAATTAAATAGGGACGCCAACAGAATTGATAATTGTTTTGAGGTGACGAAATATTGTATTCCCCTGGAATATCGCTTGCGCCAGGACAGGAACTTCTCGCACATTTCCAAATACATTTATACGTTCCCAGTGAAAACATTGAACTATACAATTGTCGACTGTAGCAAAGCTGGGAAATCATGTATCAACGCATAATATGCTATATCTAATCTGTCGGTGTTTAAAGTAGGGACTCGCGAGCCAAACAATGTATCAAATAAAAAATCACCATGATCCATGACGCAAATAACTACTCGGTTATGGAAGACATGTTAACTTGATGGTTCGACGTATCTACTCAATCCCCCCGTCCCCCAAAATTGTATAGCTTATACTTGCATTGGTTATAATATAGAAAAGCATATAATAGCCTATATATATATATATATACATATTTATATCAACAGCATCGCGCTACTCTTATATATTGAAGTATACTTGAATATTGATATTGTTAACAGTATCTATTTCGCTATCATTGCTGCTGCATATCTGTGTCATGGCGGATATAATTTGCGCAAACAATGCCATATTCAACAAGACAGAAATCTAGATGTCGCGGAAGAACCAACAATTGATGACGAAAAGTTGTGAATTTCTTCTCAGGATGCCAGAAAAATTTGCCGGCGCTGTTAAATGTATTTGTTTCTATTAATTTTTATTCAAATGTGCTTTAAATTGTGAAAGTTTTCAATAAATGCCACATATATTATTTCAGAGTTGCCTGAAGCGCAAAAATTATCTCAGTTAGCAGTATATATTTATTGATGGACAGCTGACCGCTATGTCTGTCAACTATACCGTTTAGACCAGTGGTTCTTAAACTTTTTGAGCCGCGCCCCCCTTTGAAAATTTTTACAAACTTCCCGCCCCCCCCCCTCCTTTTTGCTTTAAAAAAAATGCTTTTGTGATGAACAAGTTGTTATATATTAAGATGGCGCTATAACTGAGTGTTGGTCTCATAGCGTCATTGCTCAGATTGTTTAGGCATAAAACGCTTCGGAGTACAACTTCGCCATTCAATGTCGTATGTATAAAGCCAAATAGTGGTTGGTCATCATACATTCTCGTTTTTCCGCTCAGTTTGCAATACTTGGCAGAGTGAAACTAATTATTAAGTAAAACTAAACAAGCAATAAACCTATGCTTTAATGTATTTTCTGCTCAAACGTTTACATAAGACACGTAATATTTCAATCAATTGTTGTCGCTAAGGCGTTTGCGATTGCATTTTGTTTAAATCTCCATTGTTCACGTCAGCGTGGCGTGTTATTTATGCCCTAAAAATCTTGATTTCGGTGTTTATTCTTCCTAAATCCGAAATTTCCCTCAACAAATTCTTGTGCCGCGAAGGCGATTATAATTACTTTTTTTGTTCTCAAATGGAACCATGACACCTCTGAGAAAAACGAGTTAGTTTTTATTATAATCATCAGCGACGAGATGCTAAAGATAGAATAAAGAAGTGAATCCGTAACTAAAAATTTCTTTATCGTAGAGTGGCATTATAAAATACTGAAAATAAAACGAAAAACGCCATGAGTTTTGTTTTGGGGTGGACCGCGACAGATTAAAAACACTTTCTTAGACATTGAAAATCTCATAAATTCTTTGTGCGTGCGGCACACCAGTAGTGTTCTAAAACTACAGACTTGATATAAATTTTACTCCGTGGGATCGCAGACTTAGGAATATCTGTAACAGGGATATCTTGAAATTAATCGAGTGGCGGCATTGCGATAGAGCGGAGTGAGAGTTGCAGGGACAGCTCATATTGGTGATATTGGCAAGAATACAAATCAAAACAAAATGTAATCGACATTTTTATGGTTGCGGATTACCGTGTTATTTTGGAGTACTGGTGTTTTTATTTTATCGACGCAATCGCAGATTTAATTTATCACAATTAAATGAATAATGCAACCATTTTAAATAAGTATATCAATCATGGATTGAATATTTTATACAACAGAAAAACCATTACATATCCGTTGAAAAAGTCAGCTCTTTTAAGTAATCTCGAGGAGTAACTCAGAAGCCGTACCGCGGGGATTTTGTTTCGATGAATATGTATTTTTCATCTACCAATATACTTTACATGTATTTTAATTGTACTAAATTAAATATACTTTCTGGGATATTATACCAGATTTTTCTAATGACGACAACGAATTTGCAGGAGTGCAATGCAATATATATAAAAACTAAATATAATCGGGCAGTTGATCACACTTTATTACGTCCGCGGATTGGCGTGGTATTTTAGATAGGTAATGAGTTTATTTTGTCGTGTGTCACCGCAACCGCGAGTTACCTTGAACACAAATGAATTGAAATAGAGAGACATTTTGAATTACTGTAGTTATTACGAGACAGAAAAATTTATTACAACACGAAAAAGCCGGCATTTTTAACGAACGCGGAGACCGTTTCAGGAGCCGTTACATGTAAATTTCCGCTTCCATCTTGTGACCTCTCGACCCCCCCCCCCCCCCCCTGTTAGCATCTCGCGCCCCCCTAGGGCGCCGCCCAGTTTAAGAACCACTGATTTAGACATTCTTATGCCTTTGGACAGGGTTGTAAGCAGACCCACTTTCAAAATATAAGGCTTGTCCAAACAAGTAACATCAAATCCGATCTAATCATTTTGATTTTATTTAAGCTTTGAAGTCGTACTAAAAGACTGCTCTAATATTCTCTTACTGTCATCCGATAGCACAGAATTTAATGACGTTGATTTAAAACTAATTTACTGCATATATATATACAAAAACATTTTGAATTGAAAATTTGAGCAAAAAATTCGTCATCATCCTTTTCATTGCGATGCATCATCCATCCATTAATCAAATTCAAACAGTTCCATCTCGACTGTAAAAAAGAAATAGATGATTAAAATACTGCATGTTACCTGATTTAAAAATAGTCATATACAATATATATATATCTGTATATATACTTTGATTTTAATTCCATATTTTTATATAATCTGACTCTTTCTATGCATGTGGCCAGTGGCGGGATTCAGTCGGTTCGCACCGGTTCTATAGAACCGTCTCACGGAATTTTATGAGATCAGCGAACCGGTTAGCAATACTGGTTACTGTCAATGACTTTTTGTAACAGAACCGCGTGAAAAATATGACTTTTGTGATGGAACCGGCTGACAAATAAATTGAATCCCACCACTGCATGAGGCCCTTTCTTGCCAAACGATCGCCAATTCGCAGTTAAATTAAAGACTACTAATATTGTTTTTACCCTTTACAAGTCTATCCTAATTTTTTTATGATATATATATTCAGTTGCCAAGGACCAGCTGGAAGAATCACTAAAAATTGAGTCCGCGCACAAGCTGGTGTTATATTCGAGCTCAAAATTCAATTTATTTGAATGGAACTTTAAATCAGATATAAATGCTATATTCTAGGTAGTCATTTTGAAACGCTTAATTCCTTGAAGACAGGAAAATGTTCTACTTGGTAACAATTAAAACAATAAAGTATTTTAAAAGTGACTGAATAGTTATGTCATTTTACGAATGCATATGGATAATAGTGGATATATGATAAAAAAAAACTCAACGGATTTCATCGTCGCACGAGTGAACACTTCTTTTCTTCTTTCCGGGAGGAGGCCACGTAGGTCCTGGAATCCATCTTCTGCGAAACACAAAATAATTAAATAATTTTATTAAACAAAGTGGTAAGCCCAATTCTAATTGTCAGCAAATGTAACAAGTGCATATACAAACAACAATTGCATGTGAGATCTTATTACATGCGCGATCACGACCTGAGACCTGAACTTCAAGAAACACTTCTTATATATATATATGTGGCTGTGATTGGACATCAAATTTAAAAAATAAAGGAAGCTACTAAAAATATGACACTTTAGAAAAAACATCATGTGACTTGGATTATACAAAACTAATATAAGATTAGGTATGAAATATATTGTAGATTTATATATAGCTTATAATATATGACCTATTCAGTCCAACTATTAGCCGTACTTGTGACTTCATCCCAAATAATTGAGCGATGATACTTAATTAAACCGCATACGGTAGTCGCAAACTGCCGTCCACGAACAATATTTTGAGGAACGAACGATCTCACTTTTAATGGATAACAACAATAAGTCAATAATGCTCGAAATTTTAGTATTATTTGCGTATGGGTGTATATTCTAATAATGGCTGTTGTGAGGCACTTGTTTTGTACTAGCCTAAGCAGCGAAAGCAAAAGTTGTCACTGGTGTGACTGTCGTTTACTTGCAGAACGTCTCCACCATTAGTTGTAATTAACTCAGGAATAGAAGTTACAGGTGCGCCGTAAAGTATAATGCGGATATCTAGGAGAAAATTAATGTAGCCTACACACTACCGGAAATGCAGATATTTGGCCCAGTAGTACAAGAATTTTGGTGATCACCGACATGAGGTATATGCCTAACTGCTCACCAAACGTTCGATAATAATGCATTTTTCGCTCAGGTGTATCATCACAAAATTGAAAATTGACTGTTCTAAAGCAAAATTATTGTAACAGAATAGACGATTCATTTCGAAGATTAGAAAGAAATATTGGTACGTCATCGACCAAATACAATTTAGAAATACAATAAAAAAATCACCTTGTTTTTTTCGCTACTTGTCCTTCGGTTAGTTGATTTTCCAATATTACAGCAATCACAAGGAAAAATACGAGGTAAGCAGATATTAATTTAGACATCATAACGGTAAATAATAGTTTCTTTGATTTTATGAACCTTGAACAATATATATATATAGTTAGTTATTTTGGAAGTTTATCACGTCAAAGCAACTTTGAAATTTCATTTTATATAGACTCAAGCATCCCCAGTTTATAATCTACTTCTAGTAGACGCATCAATAACGTTTTATAAAACCTAGCCAAAACAACAATTTTTTCATGTAGTCATGTTGATACATTGTACATAAATTTAGAATAAATCTTCAGTACCAAATGAGCAAAACCACCGCAGTTTCTCACCAAAAATCGAAAGAAAATGTTTACAAAGAGATAGGTTGTGGAAACTTATAGGTGACGCAAAGCAGTTTAAATATGATTGCGTGAAATTACTTATAATTCATATCGATAACTACATTAGTCATACTCAAACTACCTTTTCCGAAACACTCTATCAAATAATTATTTTATACAAAATAGTTCAGGGTTGAGTTTAATCAACCTAAATTATTTATTTATGTGTCGATCCTTATCTCACTTTGGGATTCTAATTATTGATGGATATGATACGAATTGCAAAGTTGATATAATTTTTGAAGAAGCTATATTGTGCCAAAAAACGAGATGCAAAATGATCGAAAATTGCTTGATTAGCGTGACTAAGCATAGAAGTATTCATAATTTTCCAAATAGGTTAGTGAAATATAGGTTTATTCTCGAATTTTTTTATCGTTGTATAATAACAAACAATAAATGTCTTTTTATATGATACAAGTCCACTTGGAACTTAGCTAAAGTGTGAACCCCTCTTTTATAAATGATTTTCAGCCTTACGGTTTATCCCAAATCCCTCCACCGTGTATAATTCGCTAAGTCTGTTTATATATCATATTATCAATGCTTTTCTGGAGCGTTTTTGTAAAGCAAATAACAGAAAGCGTATTTGGCGCCATGCAACCACGATATATATACCTTTAAAGGTGAACTATTTTGAGAATTCTACTTTAATTAAAATCAAACGGAGTCAATTTAGAGTGAAGTAGTAACTTAGGGTAAGTTTTGAAAAATAAATAGGCCCAATAGCCTTCTCCCAGTTTAAATATGAGTTGCGTAGAAAAAGCAATTTTTCAAACAACAACAATCAGTCCTACAGCACCGTCAACAACAACAAGAATATCGCATAACGATCCATAAGTAAATTTCGTGTCCAATTAACGGGATTTTCGTTTATTTCTCTGATGTTTTCGCCAAACCCACAGCGTTTTCCTTATCTTAATAACTATCGAACAACATCCACACACTCCTACGAAATAACCGACAATCATCTAAATTAGAAAAAGCAACATATTCGACATTTGCGAATAGTTACGTCAACAACTTTTTTTCGATATTTCCATCGTCTAATAATTCGAAACCATTTCCGGCATTATCTATCATTTTGGGTTATTTTTGTATTAACCATTTTTAGCTTTATTTTATACAAAACGTCATTTTAATATGCATTATGTAACGTTGAAGTCAGCTTCTATCAGTTGTATTTGAATATAATATAAGTCTTAAGATAGTAGCAATCTCAATTTTTTTAAAACTGATGTGTGTGTTATCTTTCAATATTAACTTTATACCTTCCAGTTTCATACTTCTACTTATTTTAAAGCTTTTTGTAGCATTTCTACTGATTTTTAATTTTTTTTTATATAAAAATTTCCCTCTTTTTGCGTGATGTAATGTTTTATTGTTATAAATAAAACTTTTGTCCCAGTTTCAATCGAATTTTCTTCCCCTTACACAAACGTTAGTGCAAGAACACTTTTTTTCGTTAAAATGAATGTTAATGTAATATTTTTTTACCTTTGTAAATTCCTGAATCAATTGTTCGCATTAACTTAAATGCTTTCTCCTTTGGAAATATCTTTCCCCATCCATTCTAACAGTTATGTCGATATTGGATTCATCGAACATTTTATAAGTTTTCTATTGGCATGAAACGTTAGGAGCCTACAGTTACCAAGCGACAATCGTGCCACGGTAATAAATCTATAAATGTGCCTTTGTCACTGAATAAATACACAGACTATACGAACTAAGAATATCTGGCGCATGACTCTCAAAACATACAATTCCTTGAGGATTACCAAACTGAGGCAATTGAAATTACCTGTAAATTTCCATCGCCGTCCAAGTTCGTCTCAGCATTACATCAGTAAAAAAGTAAAGAAAATATAAGATTTATATTGAGTTTAAAACATTTACATTAAACGGATTCAATGCTATCATAAAAGCATTACAAATAAAAAAAAATTGATTCCAGTCTACAAAATGAAAGAAGTTATTGATAATCTAAGATGAAATCAAATAATACAGAAATTATAAAGCGATTTCTGAGGTTGGATATACCAGTTACCAGAATTTTTTAATATTTCAGAATATTGAGCTCAGTTCCATTTATTCCAATTTACCTTGAGTATTTAAGAGAATGACATTTTCAAACAACAAAATACAGATAAGACTTTAAATTTTAAGAAGTTATCTAAGTTACATATTAGAAAAAAATAAATCAATATCATCTGATAGTTAGAATTGTCGCAAATGAAGCGATTCATGGCAAAAATATTAGTTCATACAAAATCAACAAATATTCTGCATCTTAGAGAAACACATAAACATGGGATTCGATTTACTTATATTTGAATGTGGGTGGAGGATCCCGTCTTACATGTTGAGATACTAAACGTTGACGGAGTTCTCTAACTTCATTCATGAGTTGTTTTTCTCGTTCCTCGAATGTCATTCGACCTCGATCTGTTGTAAAAAGTGAAGATGATGATTCTTCTGTTTCAGTGGATAGGCTATTCAAGCACCGGCTATTAGGAAATGACATCCTTGTTTGCTCACAATCACCTTCTTTATTTGTGTCATTAATAATTCTCTCGTATTGGCTAACATTTCTTTTTTCGCGACCTATTGCTTGTATTCTCTCTTCTTTTGCATCGAGAAGTTCTTTTTCTAGTGTGACAAGTTCTTCTCTCGCTTTATGAAGCTCACTGTCTTTGGCATCCAACAATTCACGTAGTTTTTCATTAATGAAACCATGTTGTTTTCTATGTTCTGCATTCCCTCCTAAGACTCTTTCTAGATCACGTTCTCTTTGTTTTGTATCAAGTATATGCTGCTGAATGACTTCTGCTTGATGTTTGGTGGCATCCCTCTGAAGCTCTTTCTTGGCGATTCTCTCTTCCCATTTTCGAACTGATTTTAATTCAGCATCCGTCTGTTTTTGTTGAAGTCGGCTAAAAGTATGTGCTTCCGAATTTTGTTGATGGCGATATTCCTGAACTTTGTCTTGGTTTTTGTGAGTGAGATCAGCTTCATGTTGAGCCATTTGTTGCTCAAGTTTTATTCTCTGTCCTTCTAGTTCCAGACCTTCAATCTCAACATCTTCTATTGCTGCTGCAGTCTCTTGTTCTCTAAGGCGAGCAGTTCTTTGTATTTCATCTTCTAATCGTTGTATATCGGTTTCCTTTTTCATTTGCTGATGTTGCACAAATCTCAATCTTGCGGCATCCAGAAGTTGAAGTTCACGAACTCTCAGTTCCCGTTTCATAGCAGCAAGACGCATTCTCTGTGATCCAAGTTTTTGATCTTCATCCATGAGAATCTTTCTTCTTTTTTCCTCAGCTTCTGAGAGCATTTCTTGTTTCTGATACCAAGCTTCATCTTCTAACTTCCTATTAGATATCTCCTGAGCGAGTTCCTCAGCTACCTTTCTCTCTCTTAAATACTCAATTTCATCTTTCTTTATTCTTTCACGTTCACGAGCTTGGTAATCAACAATAAATTTGGGATATTTGTTGAAGACAGGATATGCCGTTCCATTCGGTAGAGGTTTAAACGGCTCAATAAGTGACTGAATTTCAATATCCTTCGGTGTGGATTCCATGAGATGATATGTTTCACGTATGACAGCATTGAGATCCAATGAATTTCTGTTATGAAAGAAAAACTTGATGTCATCACCATTATCAGTTCGTAGCAAAGCCGCTCTGCATGAAGTACAATAAGCAACAACACCATAAAGAATAAACGAGGGGTCATTTGAAAGTATGTGATCAAAAAATTTCAACCATTCCGCCCTTGTAAATACTTCGGTAAAAAGCGTTTGAAGCAGAGGCCAAGCATAATGCTGAGTTGTAACTTTGAATTTAATAAAATGATGAAGTAACTTTTTATCATGATGTGCTAGAACATTTTCAACAGCACTGAGAATACCAAGTGGAGGATTAGGAAAGAATTCGAACCAATGTTGACACCAGTTGATCAAAAATGTGGCAACCATCTCAAAGCAAATCAAGTGATTATTTTGAAAAAGTTTTACAAAAGGAAACACAGTTGATGGTAGGCTGTCTAATTCCGCAAATATAACAGACCAATGAGCGAGAGCTGACAGAATCTTCTGTAATATTCTCTGAAGTCTTCCACTTTTAATGGGATATTGATCTTGTAATGCTGCATAAGACAGATGTGTTCCTTTTTTGACCAAAGCTGAAAATGCAGATGTGTTTTCTGGTAATTGCAACATACTTCTCCAAATAAACATCCTGTACTGCTCTGGATATTCACCATGACCTTTTAATACTTTTAAAAGTCTAGATTTCGACAAACCGTTTGGTAGATCATCTTCTGTACGAACGGTTTCATCTTCAACAAATTTATTGTATCGTATTCTACCTGTCGTTACATTGTTGTTTAATGGTCTTCTCGCAGTTTGCTGCATTGTGCTGTCAGGAAATTTAGACACATCTAATGAAGTCCCAGTGTTGACAGAAACTTTGTGCTTCCATATGTCGCCAACAACTTTAACGAGAGGACCAGGGGGTTTATTCAAATCAGCACAAAGTGACGACACATCATAGAAAACGAGTGATCCACCAAGGGTTATAGCAGCAATGTGTTCACCTACAGAACTGATGGATATGCTCATGATTCTATCGTCATCTCTTGGTGATACAATTTCAAAAACGAGACGACAAGTCTCCAAATCAATGAACTGTACAATACCATCTTGGCTTATAACTCCCAAAATTTTATTCGCACCATTGTCAAATTTATCTGGTAAAAACAAAATATCTTTAACAGAAGTTACATGGGGTGGCATCTGCACAATACGAATTATTCTTAATGTTTCAAGAGAGTACACATGAAGTAGATTTGATTTACCAGCTGCTACAAGAGTTTTTCCGTTCCTTGTAACAGCGTAAGATCGGTAGTCAATGGGATCAGCTTGAGAATTGCATTTCAACTGATATTTCCATTCTAATGTTTCCGCGTCCCATGCAAAAATCGTGTTGTCTCTGAAACAGGTCATAATCAAGTTCGTTTGTGGTATAAAAAATACTTTTCGAATTCCAACCGAAGTCATGACATTTAGTTTTCTTTTCCGCTCAAATGTTTCAATATCCCAAAGTTGAGCAGTATCTTGTGATGTAGTTATAGCAACATTGCCATCGTCGTTAATAGAAATAGTATGAACTGCGGTATCATGTCCTCTCATCCAACTTATAAGCTCTTTAGTCTCGGTAGAACAGCATTTTAGTGAAGTATCTGACAATGCAATTAGGTATTCTGATTGATTCTGCAGACCAGTGGCAATGCAGGTACAAGCTTGACCAGTGTTTTGTATAATAGAAAATCGATTTTCTACGAGGTCAAACAAGTACACAATTCCAAGATGATCTCCGACAATCAATCTTTCGTGTCCAGCGACGAAGGATGACTTTAAAATTCGATAACGTTTACCAGACTTCACTCCAATCCCAGAATGAGAAATGCTGCAAATAACTCCGTTATTTGCATATGGATTTGGTTTACGGGACCATATTCTTCCACTGGTTTTTCCAGTCAAATCCAACTCCAACATGATTGAAAACGCTAAGATTTTTATAATGTATTGCTATGTTTTAATTGAAAAAATTGAATTATTTAATTGAGAATCTATCATAATTTAACAGATATTGATAGAATCATATTGGGACTGCATGAAAGTTTTGATGTCAAATTAATTATGAATTATGGTAAGTATTCATGACTTGAATTAACATATTTTATGTCATAAATTCATGATTTTGTAATATGCTTTTAAATCAATTCGAAAATCTGACAATCTATTTTTTTTTAAATCAATTCCAAGTGGAATCCTCATTTCTGTATTTAGTGCATAACAAATATCGATTTGGACAAATAGATATAAAGATTGTATTTGAGATAGTTGGTTATCCAAAAATTATCAATATTCAGATATTAGAACTCAGCTGCATTGGGCTAGTAAAATACTGAATACCTGAGAAGCAGAGGCATTGCACTATTAACTTTCTCCATAATGAAAATAGAACATACCTTATTTCATAAATAATACAACAGTCTGACAGTATGTAAATATATTATAAACATCTATGGACAGAAGCATTTATCATTATTATGATCAAGTTTCCAAAAAAAAATAACTGGCAAACTAATCCCATACCTGCATACCAGTACCCTGATATGGACTGGTCTCCGGACAAGATTTTTTTTTTCATAGAATTTCATATAGCCTATACAAATTAGCCTATCTACATTTTTATCCGCTTTCTAAGGAGAGCAATATAAGGTATTTTATATTTAAATATACTGATATAAACCAATGGAATTTCTCACGATTCAAATTTTATATTGCGCTATTGATAACAGTAGAATAACTGCACAGTAAAATTAAATAGTATGCAAAAATCATAATTTATATTAAAATGTATTCTGATTAATTCTTTTTTTTTTTTTTAAAAGGTCCACGTTGTGGATTTATAACAGTTTTGTAAAAATAAATAAATGATGAAAAAATAATAATCATAGAACATAGTTACATATAATAAACAAATATATTCGTAAACATCATTCAGTATTATCCAGCAATTCATATTATTCCATTGTTGATTCAAGATACTGAGATAAAGTTTCCCATGTTTATCAGTAAATATACATTAATTTATATGTTTTTAAATTATAGCAGAAAAATAAAAATTTATACAATTAGTCATAGATTCTTACAAATTATGTCTAGTTCGTTTATAAAACTAGGATTATGTCTAAGTTGTTCTATATTTCTCCTTGCTAAAAGGGATTTTCTAATTCTTGTTATGACACTATTTACACTTAGATTAACATTTGCAAAAATAACTGCATTACGTTCTAACCATATTCTATATCTTGCAGTACACAGAAGAAGTATGACTGCATTACGTTCAACTAATGATAAATGTGAAAAACACTGATTATTTAGTTCTAGTAAAATACATGTTTCATAAATATTTTTTAACTCGCAATTGTTTATTTTTAATACAACAGAAAAAAAAATAATCATATACATTTTGTGTAAATGCACAGTTCCAAAATAAATGAGATATAAATTCTGGTTCTTGAGAACAAAGTACACATAAATCATTTCCAGTTACAGTACCGGTAATATGTCTAATCCTTGGTTTAACTTTTAGTGAAAGAATGTCCCACATAAGTTTATAATTGAAAGTTTTCATATTATTAGCCAATATTTCACAATGTACCGGTATGTTTGAACAAGGTCCTTCCAAACTACCAAACTATTCTAATTCTTTTTTTTTTTTTTTTTTTTTTTAAATGGATCCACAATGTGGATTATTCAATATGTAAATAATAAATAAATTAAATATAAATTCTAATATTCTTATTAATTCTAATATCATTAAAGAAACAAAATCATCAGAAAAAGACCTGCTCTGTAAACTGGAAAAGCGAAACAGTAAAATCAATCGATAGAACTTTTTGAAACAACCGGCAAACCGAAATTAGGATTTCTGACAACTAGCGGTATACGAACCCCTAAAATTATGTCGCAAGATGACAATATTGAGTCAGCACTTGAATGAATTGAAATTGTTATTTACCAGAATTGCCAAACAGTCCATCTGAGGAGAAGGGAATGTCGAAAAGGGAGATGATTGGCAACCCACAACAAGTTTACTGAACTTCTTCTTTACCGGTTATTATCGTATCGTTAGAGATCTGTTGTCAAAACCCAATGGAAAAATGATTCAATTCCACAAGAAACAGGCTACAGTATCAGTGTACTGTACCGGTACCCGGTATCGGTACGGTACCGACTTGAGGAGCTTGGGGAGTTTCTGAAGTTAGATGAGGTTGTGAGTGGATCAAAACTTCTGTTTTTGGTTGGCTGAACGGTAGAACCGGTACCGTTCAGCCGTTAGTGACAGTACCGGTATGTCGATAATAACGTTACCTGTACAGAACCGTATTAATCTGTAGAGCCCAGCTTGCTGGTTAGGATCAAAGGGCTGAAGGTTGGATCTCATATTTTAGTTATCGCGGATAACTACTGAACTATGAGATACCGTAGGGTACCGTACCTATGGTAAATACAGAAATATGTAAAATCATATCTTAACTTCTGGGCTCTTAACTTAGAGTGGAAAACAGCATATGGACACAGGGAACTAATTTTGATTATGTTGTATTAATGACTCTTGCCTGCTTCCAGGTATGGCCTACGATATCGTACCGGTACAGCGGTATGACAGTATGATGTAAATGTGACAATCTGTTATCTAGTTCTGCAGTTCAGTAGTTAGATGGCTGAAGGCCAATCATGGAATCATCTAAAGCCAAGCATCAGTTGCTTCACATTCCGACATCCTCATTCTGAGATTCCTGGAACAGTGTGGAAATCAAATTACAAAGAGGATTACAACGATGAAGATAGGTATTTGAAACTAGAATCGTGTTCAATATTTTTCGGAATTTTGTTGCAAGATGGTACCCATCACAATGCTTTGAATTGAGAAAGACATATTGAATAATGGAATGGTTATATATGTAGAGGAAAACATCTCTATTTTGAAAATTATTTTTACCAATATTTCAGTAGCTATTTATGTCTATTGGTAAATTGAATAATATTCACCATACAAAAACAGGCTGGTATACTAGAATTGAAAGCAAATGCCACAGCTAGGAAGACAGTACAGACAGGTCAATCTAAATGCTTAAAAATGTCTTCTACGTTTACATGCACTCTGCGAGGAGTAACATCAAAGAAGAAATTAAGCTAGCCAAGAAACTTTTTATTTAATAAGAGGTTGAAGTATTTAGTCTAAAATTAGCTTAATGATAGCGAGTGGTATCTATCATTTTAGAAAATGATAGATACCACTTGATGTTACGATTATCTGATAATAAAAAATATTTATTCCATCTTCCATGCAAACCCTATGATTGCTATTTAAGTATATTGAGATATTAGATTCTTCATGTATTTGATATATGAGGAATTATGATATGTTCAGTGTGTTGTGTGATTTTGCGTTCATTTGGTTGTTTGCATTAAACAATTGCACACAATTATATAGTTATTTGAACTCATTAAACATTTACGACCTGTTAATAATTTTCATGTTATAGTGAGGGTGTGTTTGCAGATATTCCATGAAATGTTTGTTTTTAGCTACTTTTTTCTCCGCGAGTATTTATGAGAGCTTATATTTACTGTCAGGTAGGTATTATTACTAATTTTACTGCTTCTCTTAAAACAGACAACTATGGTAGAAGAATTTTTAAAACTATTTGGTGACTTATTCTTGAATGCAGGGCCTTTACAAACTGGGGGTTCCGACCCTGAGGTGGGTCAAAAAGAGTCCAAATGGGGTCGCAGTAAAATCTTTTCTTCACTCACTTATGTTAAAACAAAATATCGATCAAATTTGAAAAATTTAAAACCAGTACTGAGATCCACTATCACTAAAATATAGCCTAGACTCAATCTTTTGTGCCGGAATATGCAAGCACATCGGTCTCATTAAAAATATTGTCTATTTTGTTATTTTCTGTGTTATCAAATCTTACTTTATTTTAGTTCCTGGGGGGGGGGGGGGTCGCAAAACTATTTTTCTGTGCCAAGTAGGATGAAAAAAAGTTGGAAGAACACTGCTCTAATGAATGACTACAAAACTTGATTACCGGTATCTGAAATTTCATATTGGAATATCATAGTATGATTGTGTATTTGTGATGTCCAAAAGTGTGGTTTTTACCAAGTTTGTCCTCAACATTAATTATATATTTGAGAATAAGATTGGCTTGCATCAATAAAAATTTCAATGAAAATAGATGACCCAATCTACTTGTTAATAGTAATTAGTATTTATTTGATTCATGTCAACATTTAAACCATATTCCCATATCCCCTTTCTTGTTTCAGAAAGTGCTGCCAACTATTGATTATATATTTTCAAATTCGGCATAACATATCGTTTTCTTTCACATATATATATATATTGATACATTACATGGTGTCACAATCCTCAAATTCTTATGAACTTACAAGTTTGAATCATATATGGCCCATATCCTGGCATCCCATCCTTGTAATGCCTTGCTTTTTCAAGCATCAATGCGTCCTGGAGACGATTAACTGGGTTCAGGTTACCTCAGGTCGATTTTTATAATTACCGACCCGGGACTGAAGCGTTCTCTTCTTTCACGCAACTTTTGAAAATAAACACCGACACACTCAATGCGTAAGGTCGCTGTTTGTAATCACCACATTCTTTGCTATTGTACCACCTCGCTGTAATTTCCCATTGTGCAAACGTTGGGGCGGTCTTTCCATGCCGATTAGCGTGGCTTGAAATTGTATACCTACGACTGCTGTTTAATCCACTATCTTCTTCCACCCCAGATGCCTGTCTTGTATTAACAGACTTTCCAATACATTTAACTTGATAATATTGATAAATGTTAATTTTACACTTGTGGAAATTCTCAATACTGTATTCCCTTCCCTGACTGTTTCGCAAATTGAATCAATTATGCTAAAGTAAGGATAGGCCATCATGAGCGTTTTCTTCAGGTTTTAGATGGATTGTACTGTAATAATAACAGATGTCATGCAAGTGACGAATTGCTTGAAAACGGAATAAATCAGGAAATAGTTTATATCCGGACGTGGAAATGTTATACGCTATCAATTCGTTAATAGTTTCCGAATTCGCTAGAAGCGAAATGTAGTGTGTTATGTAGTCGTAACTTGGCAACATCGCTCGATTTTTGCTATCATTTCAGATATCTAACGCAGTAACTCAACTCAATTTTTAGTAGATTTCCCAACACTAAGCTACTTATTGTCTACGTAATGTAAATTTTAATTAATAGTGGAAATCTAGGGCAGGGCAATTACTTTCTGAGTGGGCCAGTTACTGGGCGTAGGCACAAAACTCAATATGAAAATCTATGAACAAAGAACTTTTCATTTACATCAGCTACTACCAAAGCTAGGCTAACGTTTATATAATAATGAGAAGCATCAATGCCGTTGGTCCCACCGATATTTTCAACAGAAATTTATATTCATGAAAGTTATAGTGCTAATTTTAGCGGACACAAGTGGGCCATATGAAACACTTCGGTGGGCCGGATGAGGGCCGTAATTTGCCCACCTCTGATTCAGGTATCCTTCAATAATGATTGTTATATTTCTCTATAAAACGATCGCTTGGGCTTTTTCGTGATCTTGT